TTGGATAAAGAACGTAATGCAACTCAGTGTTTACACGGATTATATTAGTGGCAGAATGTCTGGCTGCTCCAACAACGTGATTATGAAAAAAAAAAAAATCATACGATCAGAAGAGGGGCTGCTCTTCAACACAGGCATTTCATCCAGGGACCTTTCCAGGCTGCACCAAAGAGCTACCATAATTCTAAGACCATTCCTGTCCTCGGAGAGAGGTGTGCTCTTCATCCCCAAGGTCAGCCTATGGTACTGAAATTAATTCCAGAGAAGTGGCCATTGTCTCCTTTTCTTTAATAAAGATATGAATTATTTTTTTCCTGTTAAGGCAAGAATTTCATCCTGCGGCTAGGATCTAGTAATGCAGCTTTGATTACAGAAAAAAAAAAAAAAATGTTTGATTACAGTTAAAACTGAAGTATTACACTTAAAGACAATTCAAAATTAAAAAACTAAAACAAACAAAAAAAAATCCAAAAAAATCCAAACATTCCCCTTCTAATTACCTATCCTGAGTCCAGTTTCAAAACAGATTTTGAGGTACAAGACAATAAATTAAAAGTTCATTCCAACTGCAGAGATCAACCAGCTCCTCAATGTGACGTCTTCTTTACTCCCTTTCCAAATTTGGCATCAAGTCCAAGGCCTGCAAAGAGAAAATAATTCAGGAGCATGGCAAATTTCTTCACATCCTTTACCCAAATGTTGCACGAGGAGCTGTGGAGCTAATTTTTCACGTAGCACCAACTTCCTAACGGTCACTCAGTGGCAGGGACTCGTAGGAAAAAAAGACTAAACAGATCTGCCAGAAATCATCCCCTCTTTTCCTGCTCTAGCACATTTTCCACCAGCAGACTTCAATACAATTACATTTTTTGACCAGCACCTTTTGTTGGCTCTCCCCTTGCTGTATGTTCCCTCTGTTTAAGTTAACGGAGGACAGACTTGGGCTGTTTGCCTTCCAGACTTACCCAAGAACACCAGGACCGTCCCCACCCATTGCATCGTACTGATGGGATTGGCAAAGAGGATGACAGATGCTAAAATGGTGAAGAACTTGCGCGTTGTAGTGATGATGGAACAAGTCAGGGGTCCAAAGTACACCACAGTCATGAAAATAAAACTCTGTAAAAACAAAGAGATGCCTTTTGTCACTCTGACTGGAAAAAAATACAACACAGACCACGGTTTCAGATGAAAAGCCACAGCGCCAGAGCCAAGAGAAATCTATTTCAACCCCTGCTTACTTGCACATAACCCTGAACCAATTTGATTCAGGAGGCAGCCTGTTTGGGAAGTAAGCAATAACCACAGCAACAAAAAGCGAGGCAACTTTCCCCTGCCATCTCCCAGCTGTGCAAACAAACCCAGCGAAGACTTCAGAAGGGAAGTGCGTTTACCTGACCCAGTGCACTTGTCAGGCCAAACAGCAGGATATTGTAAATGATGCTGGGGTAGCGCTCGGTAAAACTCAAGAACTCCCAGAGCTCTCCGGTGAACAGTATCCCTGCAAGGAAGATCAAGATGAGAAGAATGATTTATTAGCCCAGAGACAGCCCCAGCAGCCACAGCCTGCAAAGCAGAATTTCGGCTTATATTCATAACCCAGCAGGAGCCAGCTGCAGGGAGGACTTTTCAGAAGTGAAAAGTGTCGGGGAGATAAACCATGTGTGAGGCACTGTCCTCTAGCGGGCGTTACAAGAGCTGCAGTGAATGCCCAGGCACTGATTTAACACACAAACACACACTAAAGGTGTTTTGCAAAATGGGCTTTTAGGCCCTTTCTGGAGCAGGACACAGCAGCCCTTCCCATGGGGTGTCCCAGAGCGCTGTGGGGGTGCGTGGCTGTGCTTTGTGCGGGCGTTCCTCACCAGCTCCCAGGAACAGGGTGGACCACAGGTTGACGTTGAGCATCATGTGGTTGGAACCAGTTTGGTAATGAGCCCGCATGTGGTCCTGCGACACCCCCGTCAGCCCGTCCAAGGTCAGTGACAGCAGCTGAGGAAAGAAGAAGGGGAGATGAGCAGAGCAAAGCATCCCAATCGCTTGTTAAATACCAATTCCACAGCCTCAAAACATGTGCAAAGAAGGCCGTGCAAGGAATCATGCATGGATCTCCTGCCACAGTTCTAGGGCACACCCTCCAAACTCAACGAGGTGTCAATTCTCTCGAATTGCTCTCACACCAGCTTTAGGGTATGGCTGCTGCACACACAACGGGGCAGGATCCCTGCTGTAGCTGCTCGTCCCTCCTCAGACCTGCCACAGCACAGCCTCGGGGGTTATTTGTACTCTGGCAGCACTCACCAGCAGGAGCTCTCCGTAGCCAAAGATGTGGTCATCGCCTCCAGCCCCCTTTTTGGGTTTATACATAAAGAGGGCCACGCCTGTGACTATCAGGAGGACGCAGAGGTACTTGGCCAGAGGATACTTCTTCCGCAGCAAAGTCACTCCTAACAGCATGACTGTAAGGAAGCAAAATCACAAAGAGTTCCCAAAAGCTTCTCACGGGAATTTAACACAACAGAGGGATAGAACACCACCGGCCCTTCTTGCAACACAGCAGCCAGAAAAATGCTCTGTTCTTACAGCTGAGCTCCTCAGACTAGTTGAGGGCTTGAGAAACGTACATGAATATACGCAGAAAACCGTTAAGTTTGCTTACCTGGAATGGGCTTACAGGATTTGCCGAGGACCTAGAAAAGAAAGAACAGATAAACCACCTGCACGCCCATCACCTGCCTGCAACAAAAACAATCATGGCAACACGAAGTGACCACCCTGACACAGACACCCAGAGCCTTAAAAAGAACAGCGAAACCCCTGCCCCAAGCAACTGTTAAATTAATGGTGAAAGTTCCAGGAATTGAGGTCTCAAGCCCTCAAACACAAACACTACCTCCCAGGTAACAAACTCTACGTTTTCTACAAATTGCTCTCCCCTCCTGGAACACCCTGAGCCCTCTCAGCGCCACGCAGCACTGCCTGGAACAGAGCAAGGCAGCCCCAGGATGGGAGCTGTGAGAAACAGTGCCTCAAAAAGCCACCAAAAAGCTCCCCCCGTGCCCTTTCCCCTCCCAGCTGCAACTTGTGGCGGTCGCTTCCTCAGCCTGGGGGCCAGTTCTGGGCCACCCCCAGCACTGGGGGGTGACCGAGGGCCAAGGTTCCCCTTTAACGCCTCCTCCTCGTCCCCCGGAGCCTGCCCTGCGTCACCTGGGTGGGGTAGTTGACGAACTGCAGAGCCGAGTTGCTGGAAACCATCGCGCCCAGATAGGAGAGCGAGCAAGCGGCGTAGAGCCAGCTCTGCGTGCGGTCCACTTTGACGGAGTCGAAGAAACGAATCACTGCAAGGGACAGCAAGAGGAGGAGGAGGAGGAGGAAGTCAGGAATGCTGCGAGCAGCCCCCAGCAGCTGGAAGCGTTTCAGAAGTGCCAGAGCCACACGAGCGGCACCCGATCCTGACCGTGGCAGAGCACAGAGAGCCACCATCCTGTCCCATCCCCGTCCCCTCTGCCCCAAAATCCCGCGTTAGCCCAGCCGAGCGGCTCACAGCCCGAGGGAGCCCCCAAAGCACCCCCCGGAGCCCCCAGCCCCAACTCACGGAGCTTGGCGAAGGCGGCGTTGATGACGCACTGGATGAACACCAGGCTCAGGGCATAGGTGAACTTCTCCTGCTGGGCTCCCTCGCCGTACCTGCCCCGGGTGCTGCAGGAGGGGGAGGCGGTGAGGGGCCGGTGGGCACCCCCAGCCTGAAACAGCCCCACGGGACGTGGCCAAGGGACCCCCCCCTCCCCGCCAGGGCTGGGAAACCCCCCCCGGGCATGGGAAAACCGGGGCTGGATCCCCCCCCGGGGCTGGGACCGGGACCCACCCCCCCAGAGCCGGGCCCCCCTCCCCTCCCCTAACACCGGGATCCGCAGGGCTGGGAGCCCCCCCCCCCAGGGCACGACCACCGCCCAGGACCGAGACCCCTCTCTACCCCGGGACCCCCCCGGGCCGGAATTTCCTCCCCCAGTCCCGAGACCCCCCCCGTATCCACCAGGACCCCCAGAGCTGAGAACCCCCGGGGCTAGGATCGGAACCGGCTCCACGACCCCCCCCGGGACCGGGACCCGGACCCGAGACACTCAGAACCGGGACCCCCCCGGGGCCAAAACCCCCAGAACCGGGACCCCTCGGACCCAAGACCCCAATACCAGGACCCCCCCCCGGGACCTTCCCCACCCCCGAGCTCCCCCCTCCCGTTTCCCCCCCCCCTCCCGGTGTTGCCGCGGACATGCTCTCCTGCAGGATGCCGTAGTAGAAGTAGCAGGCGAAGACCCCCAGGAAGCAGACGGGCAGCCGGAGGCGCTCCGGCAGCGCGGAGCCGCCCGCGGGCGCTCCCATGACGGGGCCGGGGCCGGGGCCGCCGCTCAGCGCCGGGCCCAGCTCCAGCGCCACATCGCGCAGCGCGCCCGGCGGCGGCGGCGGAGCGGGCGGCCTCATAGGCCCGGCCTGCGCCCGCCCGCCGCCGAGGACCCGCCCGGCTCGGTCGCGGCTGTCCGCCGCGATGCCTGTATCGATGGGAGGAAAACGGAAGGGAATGGGGAGGTAAGAGAGCGCGGACGGCACCGGGGGGAGATCCCGGAGGCTTCGAGCCCTGCACCGGGGCTAAAATCGCCGCGGTTGGGGTGCGGGGAGGGCGGCGGGGAGACCCCTCGGGGCAGGCAGTGCAGGCGGGCAGCCCCCACTCGGGGGCCTTCAGCAAGCGCGGTCCCGGCGGTGACGCGCCCAGATGTGGAGCGCGGGGATTGGTTGCGAGGATGGGGGCGTGGCCAGGGGGCCTCGGCGTTGCCGCGGTCGCCTGAGAGACTCGAGCGGGGGCTGCGCATGCGCAGCGCGGCGGGGCTCAACCCGCTCCCCCCCTCCCCTCCCTAAAATGGGCCGGGGGGGGGGAGGGGGCAGCCCCGAGCCCGAAAATTTAAAAGAAAAATAAATAATAATAAAAAAAGAAGAGGAGCCGGGGCTGCCCAAACCCGTCATTTATTTATTATTTATTTATTGGTTTTCTCCTTTGAGAAACGCGAACCCGACCTGCAGCCAGCGCGGGGCTCCCCCCCCCACCCCCAACAACAACAAAACACAAACGAAAAGAGTCGAAAAAGAGTCAAAAAACGGTCAAAAAACTCCTCAAAATAGGGCCGGCTGCGGGGGAAGCCAGGAAGGGGCATGGGAGAGGGCAGCAAGGCGGCGCCTCAGGGCTCCGGGTCCCCTTCCCGCCCCCTCCCCCCCCCCCCAAGGCCGCTCTCCCCTCAGGGAGGCAGCGCTGAGGCGCCCCCCACCTCCCCCCCCCCCTTTGCAGCATTTTTTTCCTCTCAGCCCCTTAAAGCTTCTTTTCTTTACCCCTTCAGGCTTGTGGCACCCCGGGGGTTCTCCCCAGCCCCCCCCCGTGCCACAGCAGGAGCCCATTTACCCCACAGGTCAGCGTCGCCTCCCCCTCTGAGCCCCTTTTTCCCCCCTTTTGCCCCCATTTAGGGTTCCCCACAGGAGGAGCCGGGATGTTCCACCTCAATCCTTGGCGTTGGGAGCCCCAGGAGCACGGCTCTGCCTCTGCTGGGGGTAATCCCGCAGGTAACACCGACAATTCACCACAGGAAAGTGCTTCAAAATGGGGGAGATCAGCAAATCGAGCCCCTCCAGCAGCGAGGAAGCTCCCCTATGGCACCCTCCTCAGAGGACGCCCGCTGTGGTTTCTCAATCCCAATCCCAGAGCCGCCCCTGTGGCTCTCAATCCCACCCTCAAGGCACTTTTGTCTCCAGGGGCTGGCTGAGGTGCACGGAGGAGCTGCCGCCGCCGCCTTGCCTTCCCCTGGGCTTCACACCACCAGGGAGCTGTGGAAGACGACGCTCTCCTCGGGCTGGCCGCGCTTCCAGTGTTCGTAGTTCAACGCAGGCGACTTGGAGACATCGCCGGCAGCGTCCTTCCGCACCCCGAGGAATGGGGCCGGGGGCTGGCAGGATGGAAAGGGGCCAGCGGCGGGGCTGGAAGAGGCCGGGAAGCCCCTGAAGAGGAAGCCCATGTTGGGGAAAAGAGGCTTCACCAGGCTGACGGGGCAGAAGGCAGAGCCGGTGGGGTTGAAGTGCACTTTGTTCTTATCCGGGCAGGAGGGCTGGAAGCTGTGCTCGGGGCCGGGGGAGCTGTGGGAGGAAGGGGATGTGAGCTGGAACAGAGGCTGCCCGGCTGCAGGGAGAGCACCCGGAGCCAGGAGCTCCTCAAATTGCTGCCTAAAAGCTCAATTCCCTGTGCTGTGGGGACTGCTGCTCGGCACAGAGCAGCACGAGAAGCCCGTTTGGTTCTGGAAGCACGGTTTTAGGTGAACAGCCTTGAGAGGCTGTGCTGAGAACAACCCCCTGGGAAGGGCACAGAACACCAAGACCCTCCCGAGTGGCTCAGGGTTGGCAATTCCACTTCCAGCTCCTCCACCAGGACCTGAGAGGCCACTTTTTTGGGGACAAATGTTTTCTCAGAGACCATTTCCCACTTCTAGCACAGGGCAGGGGGTGACAACTGCAGCAAGAGAAGCATCAGCTGCCCCCGCCCCAGCATCCTGCCCCCGCCCCAGCCTGATGTGAGCTCCCCACCACCCGCAGCTCCTCATACTTACGAGGTTTCTTCAAAGGCACGCACTTTCTCGCAGCCCTCGGGAGGTTCCCGTTTAAACATGTAGCTGTGGTTGGGCCGAGGAGAAGAAGCGAAGGCCAGGACTGGTGGAGAGGGGCTGCCCTCCTCTAGCAGGGAAGAAGAAATACTTTTGGAGACGTTTTGCAAAGAATCCAGCAGCACCAGAAGCCAACCCCAGGCGTGCTCCTCTACACCCCGTGTCTGTAGGCTGCAGCCATGCCCTAAAGCTTCAGCATTTTACCCGTGGGGTTCCCAGCTCACATCCTCCACCCCCCAACTTGCCAGACCCTGGCCTTTCAGCGTTTACCTTTCTCCTTGGGATCTGGCTGCGCCTCATCCGCAGCAGGGAGCTCTCCTGCTGCCAGCCTCCCTGGGGTGTGTGGAGAAAGGTGGAGAGGCACTGAGGGGGAAGGAGAAAGCGAGAGGCTGCTGCAGGGCTCCAGAGTCAGGGCTGCATCTCCAGAGCCTCTCTGGGCAGGTGCCGGTGCCCTGTGGCCATCTGGGACATCCAAAATCTAGGGAAGAAACAAAGCCTGAGCAGAGCAAGAAACCCTTTCAGCAGCAAAATGGTGCGGCAGCTGCTTGGGGTGCTGGATCCCGACACAGGGACGGCTTCCACCTCAGGGGGCGAGGCAGTTGTTGGCAAAGCAGAAGGACAAAAACCCTTCCCTAATATGCTGAAGGGTTTTGCAAGCTGTCTGGGGTCCCCTCCCACCTCTGCACAGCACAAAACAGCCTCTGGATGCCAGTCTGCGACAGCACCTCAACGCTGCCAGCGAGGCGTCATCCAGTCCAGGATTACCCCTGGCTCATCTCTCGTCGCACCAGCCAGTTTTACAGAGGGAAGCCAGCAGCCACTTGGCACAACTCAGACATTTACACGCCTAGAACAAGACGAAACCAGACACAGAGCCCGTCCCCGTGGCCAACAAACAGATACAGACAGCGAGTGTCCTTGGAGGAAAGGATTTCGGAGACCACCCAGGAGATTCTGGACAATCTGGTGACCTTCACTCACCCTCAAAAGCTCTTCATCTCCCTGTTCCTTCACAAACACTTCCTCCAGTTCCTGGTTTAGCCCTTCCAGGCTCCTATGCAAGCAAGGGCTGAGTCTCAGAATAGCAGACGAGGAAAGGCAGCCTGAAGGAGAGTCCTGCAACGACCCAGAGGCAGAGAGATTAATGCACCTGCACCAACCGAGCCCTTTCAGCTCCATCCTGTCCCGCAGCACCCCAGGCAGCTGCCCAGAGAGGACTGACAGAAGGCTCGTGTCAACTCACTGACTGCAGATCAAAGCCCAGGGACACGTTGAAGAGGTGGGGGAAGAAGAGGAGGAAAATGAAAAATAAATAAATAAATTCTCCTTTCTCAGAAAGCAGGGTAAAAATTCTGAGAAAAGCCTGGAGGCTGCCAGCAGGAGCTCGGCCTCACCAGGAGGCGCAGCGACAGCGGAGCAGGGGAGATGTGAACGTACCCGGAGCGATCCGAGGACAGCATGGTCCCCCGGCAGCGGGGAGCTCTTCTCCTTTTCTTTGCCACTTCTGCCATTTAGCTTTGTTCGCTGGAGCTGCTGCTTCAGTTTGGCAATCTAGCAAACAAAGGTTCGGCTACAGAACCAGGCGAGCCAACACGCCTCCACCACAAAGGGTCCTGCCTCGCCTCTCTCCTCCCCCTCTCTTTCAACCCTCGAGAAAGTGCCAAGACGGAGACGGCTTTGACCGCGCCACGAGCGGCTCCGGCCACCTCCCAGGGGATGGACCGAGCGCTCATGCAAGGCCTCGTCACAGACACTGTCACAGACACCCCCCTGCAGCCTGCCCGGTGCTGTCCTGCTGCTGGAGCTGGGTTATTTTCCACCTACGGGGCCGGACCCCACGCACACCACGCCACCTCCGAGCTTCCTTCCAACCAGCTGCCTGCAATTTCGGCCTCTCGGCGCATCACAGAGCGTTAGCGATGAGGACAGGGGCTGAGGTCTGATCTCCCTGTCCTCCCAATTCCCCCCCACCACGCAAGCAGGAGCCTCCTGGACGTTAAGGACTAACACAGATCTTGCTGAAGCATCGGGAGCGCGGGGCTGGGTTACCTCTCTGCGGTGATCTGCGCTACCCCAAGAAGCAGAACGCCTGTGAGAACTGGAGCTGGCTTTCCCCACTTCCGCGTCATGCCAGGACACCGGAGTCTGAAGCGAGGAGAAACATTGCTGAGAACAATCACGACATTGGCTGAGCTGGACGCTTGTGGTAGAGTCCCAAAGAACCAAAGTCAGCAGCTCCTGCCCCTTCACAGCCCTGCTCCAGCCTTCCCCCGTTAATACCCAAGCGTTGGCCAAAACCTCAACGTTTTGACCCAAACGCGTGCCTGTTGGGAGCCTGGACCTCCCAGACCTCCAGGGCAGAAACCCGACCTCCTCCTGCGTTCCGGGCTGATCTGAGCCCTCCCTCGCACACCTCCTCCAGCACAGCTCACCAATTTCTGCACGGCTACGACCCTTTGCTGCCTGGGTCTCTGTTTCAGCAGACATCACGGCACAGATGTCGCTCTGATTTAGCGTTCAGTTGGGTTTGAGAGAAGAAATTCCTGCAACCCAAACCATTACCCCAGCGTCCTGCTAAACTACAGCAGCCCAGAGGAGCCTCAGCCGTCCCTGTGCTACTCCCAGACAGTGCCAAGGAAATCCTACAGCAAGCACCAGCCTCGCAGCTCTCACACGTGGCACCCCTGATCTCATTTCCTACCTCAAATATCCTCTCCTGAATCAGATTATGTCCAGAAGAAAGCTGAGGAGGAAAGCTAAAGGCCTACAGGAGAAAACCCACACGACTGCAAGAGGCGAGTCTGCCAAAAGCTCAACTCCAGCTGCTGAGAACAGCCCAGGGCGTGGGAGAAAATCCTCTCCAGTCACAGGAAGGCTCCCGAGCACCTGCACCCTCCAAGAAGTCCCTCGCTGCAGCCTGCTGCTGCGACACCCCGAGCACCGAGCGCTGCAGCGCAAGGAAAGAGGGCCTAAAAAGGAAGAGATGTGCGCGCATCCCACCTCTCACAGGCAGAAGGAAATTACAGAACCTTCTGTACTAACTGTGGCAAAACCGCTTCCTCAGAAAGGGGAGAGAAAAACGCTTTGCACAGCGAGATAAAGCCGCGAGCTCCAATCATGCAGGCGGCTGCCATCCTCGCCCCCACAGCCAGCACCTGCGCCCGTATCTCACTTCAGCACCCTACAACAGCAAATCTCCAGGGCTCTGCCAAACAGCTGATGGGGAGCTGAACAAGGGAGGGGAAGTAAACATGTGCTGGCTAGCAGAGAAAGTCCCAACGTTGATAAGTGGAAGGAGTGGCAAAGTCCTGGAGGTCGCAGTGAGGAACGTTTTGTTAATGCACAGGGAGGTCTGGAAGTGGGGACTTTATTCCCAACTGCCAGCATCAGGCAAGTGGCTGCGTGGGGATTTCTGCTCCTTTCCAAGCACATCACAAGGTGAAATCAGCATTTCCTTGCAGACAGCTGAGGGAAGATGCCCCATGCCTGGCCTCACTGCAGGAGTGAGCAGCTTCAAGCTCGGCAGCCAGAAGCAAGGCAGTGCCGTCCCCGTTCTGGGAAGGAGATGCCCCACTTTGCCAGCCTTGTCCCCAAAAGGACCAAACTAATTAGCTCGAAAGCACCGGGGTTAAGTGTTGCCACCACTGCCCATCTGCTTTAAGGCAGAAAGGAGGAGTATTCCCAGAAATAACTCTGAAATCAGGTTCAAATTCTTTCCCTTCCTCTCCAGCACGCCCTCTGCCCTCAGCAGTGCTCTTGGGCACCAGAACCCAAACAAAAGCAGGGGAGAACCCGCTGGAAAAGGACAATGGAAGTTGGAATCCAATTGAGAATTTCCTGCAAACAGCCCCGTTAAACTGTTGACCAAAGATCAAACAGCAAGTTCACACAGACGGGAGTGTGCTAAATAAACAGGCTCGTTAAGCAAACGGATGCTCTTATCCCTCTGAATTCTTTCACCTCCGCAGATAGGCGAGCGCTGTTTGCTGCCACACAGCAATATTTACAGGTTGCTAAGAGTTCCTCGAGGTCTGGAGCTTTTCCACCCTCCAGCAGAGCTCTCCGTGCTAGCGAGCCTTGCTGTGGGAGCACCCTCGCCTTCTCCCAGCGTGTGGCACTCAGCCCGCGAGTGTTATATAAGGACTTGGCCCAGAGCTGCGAGCCAGAAAATAAAAAAACACAAAAAAACCACACCACTAGTGCTGAGCCAGGGCTGGAGCAGAAAGCCAGCAGCCATCTGCCTCCAAACAAGGCCAAGGAAATTCCAACTCTGCACCAAAGGGGAATCAATCGAAGCTGAGAAGCAAGAGGGGAAAAAGCCTTCCTAGAAAGTCGCAGCTGCACAAGCCGGAGCCTTAACGCTCTGTCTCTTCTCTCCCCACCTTACACACCTTTCTGTTGGCCCTCTCTCGACCCAGAAACAGCACGGGTGCTCTGCAGTCATACCTGGGTGGCTTTGTCATTCATGCACGAAGCAGCAGCTCCTTCAGCATCCCGCGGCCACTGCCCCAGCAGGTAGGAGCCCACGATGGTGTCCAGCGAGGAGGTGCGCCGCACACGGGGCTGCCGGGGCCGGCACGGCTTCTCCCCAGCAGCAGCACAGGGAACGCTGGCTAGACAAGGACAAAGGGAACAGATTCAGACTTCCAAAACCAAAACCCAGCAAAAGCCACCCCAATTAACGAGCCCACATCGAGCACAAACATCACCAGGAGGGAATTAGGACGCACAGCCCACACAAATCCTTTTAGTTTTCCTCCTCACTGCTCTGCTCCACTGCAGAGCGCCGATCTCTTGCTTAGCACCAGCAGATTGCTCCTTTAGAGCAGGAGATTTCATCGCAGCCCTCAAGAGGCTGCTCAGAACCACTGATGAGATGTTCCTGAGTAGGTTGGGGTTGCTGCTGCATGTCTGAGCAAAATACCTGACACGGCCACCTCGCTTTTACATGAGCAGGAGGGAAGAGCACGGATACCTGCCCTGCAGCTCTGCTCTGCCCAGCTTCCACGCTGCCCGTGCTGACTTTCAGAGCTGGGAACGCTGTGCACAGAGCTGCTTCCTAAATAAAACCAGGCTGGGCAGCGATGCAAACCCATCGCGAGCCAACAGCACGGAGAGCCAGGAGGCTCCGCGAGCTGAGGCCGTGGTGACACGCAGCACAGCTCGCTGCTCCTTCCCAGTCCCCTCCATCACATCCCAGTCAGCCCCAAACTGGGTGCCAGCACCACGCCGCCCTCTCCCATGGGTCTGTCACCACCCCTGAGGCTGCGAGGAGGCGCGCTGGCCACGGCAAGGGCGAGAGGCGAGCTGAAGCCAGCAGAAAGTTCGGTTTGCGTTTCAGTTTGATTACCCACGCTAATTACCACGCACATTAAGAGCAGCCCCGTGGCCTCCCGGCAAGATATTCAGGCCAAGTGGGCAGCTCTGCTGCAGGTTTTCTCCTTCCTCCCCAAAATCAGGGAACTGTGGGCAGGCAGGCAGCGAGTTCCCCACACGAAAAGCAGCCTCAGAGCTGCTGGGCACTGCACGGGGCTTGCCAAAAACCTCTGTAGGCAAAGGTGTTGCAGCACTCACTGCCTGGCATTCAGGGCCTAAATACATCCTTTTATCAGCTGAGGTACCGTTTGGGAGCGGAATTCCAGTTGTAGGGGAGAAAAGGGTGGGAACAAAGGCACCTGGGAGGGCCAGGAGCATTATTCCTTGCAGCACAGCCACACCTCGGAAGGTCCACACGGGATTAAAGGCTTATTGTGCTGGCTCCAGCTGCCATTTCAGACACGCTCCTGGCTTCCAGCAGCCTAACACAGCTACCCCTAACTCATTTAGGAACTCGTTAGGGTCTGCAGCTTCCTCTCCTGTGCCTCTGTGCCCCCACGGGCTCCAATATTTGCATCTCCAGCTGGTTCTTTCCCCTCACACCACTCTCTCCGATGATGTTCCTGGCAGAACTGAACGCTGCCACCACCGGGGAGCTGCTCCTCATCCTGCACAGCTCCCCAAAGGGCCCCCAAAACCTCCCCAACCTTCCCAACCCAACCTTGCCCAACCCAAACGGGGCACCACCAGCTCGAAGCGGGTTTGACACCCCGGTGAGACCCCATGGGATGCTCAAAGCACCCCCAGAGCCACCCACACGCTGAGAGCTGGGGCTCCGTGGTGCCACCAGAGGCCGGGCCGGGTCCCCTGCAGCACCCAGGGGTGCAGGAGAGGAGCTGGGGCACGAGGGAGAGGTGACAGCAGGGTGGAGCGTCCTGTTTACAGCCCCGTGCTATTATCAGCCCCCAGCACCCAGCCTGCACAGCTGCCACCCGGCCACGAGTGTGGCCCGGGGCCAAGACAGCCACCCAGCTGAGAAAAGCCAGCTCCGGGGGGTGCTTTTACTCTCCGGGGGTGCTTTTATTCCCCCATGGGCACCGCAGAGCTGCTGCAGATAAGGGAACCGCTGCTCTATCTCCAGGAGCCACTCAGCCACCTCCGGGTGCTGCAATGGGTGCTGAGAAGCCTCAAGGTCGGATGTTATCCCAAATGAAGCAGCAAGGGCGCAGTTTGCTCGCAGGCTGGTGGTGGGAATTTGCAGGGTCCCTGCTCTTTGCCAACCACGTCAACAGCCGGGAGCTCAGAGCTTCCTACCTAGTCTCCTGCACCAACCAGTCTCTGTATCCAAAAAGATAAACCCAGGTTTCAGTCAACTCAAAAAAAAATGAATTACTTTCAATTCACCACCCCAAAACTTCCAGAGTCTCAGTATTTAAAGCTGGATCCACAAATGCTGGCAAGCAAAAATAACGTTCCCACTACTGCTTGCTCTTTAGAGTTGTACAATTTTCTTCCTTCCTTCCCCCCCTGCAGATTTCAGCCTGGGGAAGCTGACCCTTCCCCATCACAGCACTGCTCAGGAGCTCAGGGACGCGCTGTTCAGGCCCTGGTGGTTTTTTTGGAACGTGTCCACGCAAAATCTATCTTAAAGTGATGAAGCATGAAAAATAAAGCTGATTAGGTTGAAGCAGGGACTGTTACAGTTTACCACGGAGCGATGGGCCGTCCTCACCACCATGCCAGGGGCTCCTCTTGCAAAAAGAGAAGGTTTTGGGTGCAGTTCTCACTTTATTAGCTCAAACAGGAGTCACATGTGAGCTTTTAGGAGTATTTGTCAGGAAGCATTTAGCCAGGATGGAACCCAAGCAACCCCGTCAATAATTAACTCATGCAAATTTCTTCCCCTTGGTGTACCAGAAATTACAGCTCGTTACCGGGGTTCTGCATCAGCTTCCCTCGTGGGCACCTCGCAGTGCTCTCCGCAGCCAGGTGACACTGGGGTGACACTCCTGAGCCAGGGGACAGGAGGACACCTCATATGCCCAAGCTGGATTTCTCAAAATCCAGCCAAATTTGCCAAAAGCACAGCAGCACCCGTGCTGCAGGAACATCTTCCAACCAAAATTCGCCCCGAAGCAGGCTGCTGGCTGTGGATCCGGGCCCCCCACTGCACCCCTGTCCTAGTTCCTTCATTTCCAACATCCCCCTGGGAGATCTCTGCAAAAAACATTTCTGCATGGAAAAAAAACACAAAAAAACAGCTCTGCTGGGGTGTTCACCAGCACGGGAATCCTACAGGAGAACGGAGCTGAGCTGCCCGGCTGTGTCAGAGCATCACAAACACACCTCACGTTCGTGATGCTGTGAGCCTCGGAGATCTCATTTCAATTTCCCTGCAGTTTCATCACTGTGAACCCAGCTACCTGATGACTTGTGGCCCAACAGGCCCAAATTCCCAGCAGCGAGCAAGCTGCAGAAACACAGCCTCCGATTTCCCTTCTTGTTTTCTTTCCCCTGACCGAGCAGATGAAGGAATTTGTGTCCGGACCAAAATGCCAGTGCCAAAATGCAACGGCCACCTATTTCTGAAGAGTCCTAATCTTTTAACACAGCAAAGGCTAAAAACCTGCACAGGAAAGAAAAATATATTTTAAAAAAAGGCTTTTCCCAGCATTGTTCTCAAGAAAGGTGAGGATTTCAGAAGCACACCTCAACTTCAGTCACACCACCCAAAACCAGCCCAGAATCATGCAAGGAATCAAGATTTCTGTCCCGAGAATCCCCCAGAGCCTCTGAGGAGCAGCTTTGGTCATTCTTCGTGCCATTTAAAATCTCGGGGTTGGGACAGACAGCTCCGAGATCTGCAGACCGAGCTGGAAACCAGCAGCGTTGGGCAGGGGTTGGTGGCAGGGTCACACCCAGCCACCACGGCAGGAAACGAGCTCAAGAAAGCGAGACCCAGAGCTGGAGAAGTGCTGAGAGGGAAGTTCACAGAAGCTAGAGAGAAAGGGGATATCCCCTGCACCGAGACACCTCCCGGCAGGTCTTCTTCAGGGGAGGGGACCGGGAGCAGATCTGGAGCCAGAAGTGGAGTAAGAGGCACAGAGAGGATGGTGAGCAACCAAAAGGTGTAAAAACCACGGCTGTAAATCCACGCTGAGGGGGCTCCAAAGGGACCCACCAGGAAAGGAACCAGGTGGGCACACGGAGCTGAGCCCTGGTGCAATGGGCAGGCTGCCTCCAAGCACAGCCAGCGGATTTTTTGGTAGGAAAAGCCTCACTTCACCCTCAAAGCAGGAGAATTACGGTCAGAAGTTGACAATCAGGGAGAAGAAGGCAGCAAGAGGACCACGGATGTTGGTGTGTGAGATCTCTGATCCCACCCAGCCTCAGAGGCTTCCCCAAACCTGGAGCCCAGCGAAGAAATCCCAGGCTTTGCAGTCCCAAGGACGGAGCATCTGCAGGTCTCATCGGAGGAGATTCACGTGGTTCAAGCTGGTGGGGTGGTTTTTTTTTTGGTGGTTTGGGTTTTTTTGGACACTGTTAAACAGCAACTTCCTCAACCGCTGCTCAAGGCCTGAAGCTGGAGCTGAGCACTCGGTTAACGGAGGAGAAGCTGAACTTTCCCCCTGTAGCTCCATCCTTTCAAAGTTTGTTTTTCAAATGATAAAACCATCGGAAGAATTTCAACATCCTTAAAGCCTTTGCTTGAAGTGCTCGTCTCCTAAATCCAGCCACGGGGGGACCTCCCAGCACACCCATCTCCTGCCCCCTGGTACAGGTGGGGAGCGCCTCCGGACCCACTTCCACACTCTCAACTCCATGGAGGAACCAGAAGAAAACACAGATGAGCTGGCAGCCTCTGACAAACAATAAGGGGGGGTTGGAATCGAGCAAAAACCTGTTTAAACTTTCTGTCCTGTCTTGTTTAATCTTTAGGACTCGCTCACCCTGATCTGGAAGCGCAGAGATGACCAAGGAGTCACCCCCAGCACCCGTCTCAGAGGATTGAACCCTCAGCTATGAAGACGTGGGTTGGGTTTGGGTTTTTTTTCCTCCTTTTTTTTTTGTTACACCCACTTAAATCAATTCCTGATAAGCATCTAGGCATCAAGATCCCGGCAGAAGGCAGGGCCCTCGCTCAACTCAAGGTGAGAAACCTTTGCTTCCCAAGCCCTTGGAATTCTTCCAGCCCAGAGGAAAGCAAACAGAGCGAGACATCCTTGATATTTCAACAGCTACAGACAAGCCAGGAAACAAGGAAAAAGCAGCTTGTCCTTTCCACGCTCACAGCGACATCAATCACGTAGCACCTCACGACAAGCCCCGAGCCCCTGCTCCTTCACAGCCACCTTTGTGAAGGATTTCAGCCTGCCTGCAACGCCCAGCCTGGAATAATTCTGCACCAGGAGAACCAGCAGCTGATAGCCCTGATGTCCCTTCCTTGTGCCAGCTGCAGCTGATGGAGCAGAGGAGCAGTTTGGGATCAGCTCGCTGCTAGAAGCTCACCTGAGCAGCCTGAGCACGGCAGCAGCTCACACCCAACACTCATGCAGAGCGGCCTCAGGCTCCGGCACGCCAGGAACTGTGCAAACGCTGTCGATCTTGCTCCTCAAACACAGCAGATCTTGCTCCTGAACGCTTTCAGACTGAGGAGATGGCAAAAACGGTGAGAAAATGAGGCAGGGGAAGAGAAGCAGCTTGTCCAGAGCCCCGCAGCAGGCTGCAGGCAAGCACAGAGACAATTATCTCCCATTATTTTCAACCTGCAGCCACACGACCTGCCTTGATGCTTGCCTCGTTTCCTCTGCAGCCACCCCTGTGTTAGCAGGTGGCTCGAACGAGAGCCCAAGAATCCTTTTTAACACAAAATGGCCTAACAGGGATTCCAAGAGGGGATATTTTTACATGCCCAACGCTGTTTTGCTGGTGGGGGTCTCCTGCCCTGCTGCGGTCACACTGAATCAGCCACCCTCAGCTGCACGAGCCACAGGGAAGCACCAGGGCTGAAAAGCCTCGCCGTTCACCCACTATTTCAACACTTTTGGGCTCAATAAATCCTCTCGCAGGGCTCGTTTCTTCTCCATGCTGTGAACTCAGAACCTACGGAGGGGAAACAACCCGAGAGCTTCCGAGTCCCTCTGCTCCCGTCCCTCCCCCATGCACAAATCCATCTCTCGATGTCATCCCCGGCGTTTTGAAGCAGGGAGAAACTTGTTTCACCCACAGCCTGTCACCACGAGGCAAGATGAGTTAGAGCCGTGTCCTTTGTTTCCCCTTTCCCACACCCAGAGGCTAACCGAGTGGGAGCAGCAGGTTGGGGCTGAAGGGATGATCCCTATCAGCTGAGGGCTGCACAACCCTGAACGGGCTCCAATTACCACGAGGAACTCGTCCTACACCAACCAAAGCCACCTGCAAAGCTGAGCCCCGCATTGTGCTCAGCCGGGTTTTGTACAAAGAGAGATTTCATCCCCTAGGACAGGAGCAGGATTCCTCGTGGCTCATGCAGCAGCAGGACACCTCCGAGGTTTTCCCATCCCTCCACAACCACTTTTTCCCCGTGACAGCTCCCTGCTTGTGCTTAACCCTTCGTTTCCATCATTAGGGTTTGCCCACGGCAAAACCCTAAAGGCAGGAGCAGAATTACTCAGTCGTGGTGAATCCCAAAACCTGAAAAAGCCAAGCTTGGGAAGCAGCTGCTTGCACAGCAGCCGTTTCCCCACGCCGCACTCTGCACACTCACTGCAGGGTTTTTGCTTTTTAGTTTTTAAAGACTTCATACATAGCGAGCCTCCTCTAAAAACCTTCAATTTTAAGCACATCGATGTTACAAATCCGGGCGTTCCTTCCTCATTTGCTTACGTGCAAATCCAAAAATCTCCAGGTGTTAAGAAGCATTGAAAGAAAACCCAAAAGCAGCCACCACAAACACCTGCACCACCATTTGGGCAGCAAAACCTTCACCCTCACCCTGTGGGATGCAGAAACACCACCACACGCCGATTCCTAAAGCAAGCAGCAGTGCTGGAGATGTTCAATTAGGAGGGGGGAAGGAGACCCCCACGTCCATCCCGTGACGCCTGCAGCTAAGGAAAGAAGGGCAGGGAGAGCCTGGGAACAGCTCTGCTGTGTCCCTACCACGTGGGCAGCGACCCCACAGCACTTTCAAGGGGTAAACACATTTTTATTCCCAAAACATTTTCATTTTGCTACACACACACTCGGCCAGCATTGCCTAGGAATAGCGTCCCACTCGTCTGCCTCTATAACACACAGCAGGCACGGGCTGCGTCCAGATCCCAAATAAAGCTGTTTGGCACCCCGCTCACTCCGTCTCCCCAGCAGGATCCAGGCATTGCACCGAGCCGGTGGGTTTGGAAGAGGGATGAGAAGCCCGACGTGTGGAGGGCTTGGAAGGGAGAGAGGCAACATCCTGAAATCCCCAAGAAGTTAATTGCAATGCTGCACAGAGAAGCAGTTGGTCGGTGGCTTCTTGGCCAGCTCTTCATCCTAATTAACTCCCTGCTTTTAAAGGAGCGCTGTGAGAAGTCTGCTGAGCTCCTAACACGAGACGTGGCTTTGCTTTTTCACCATACCCCATTTTGTTCCTCTCCCTGCACAAGCCAAGTCAGCCAGCTCCAATTACTCACTCATGTTCTCAAAACACCACGGGCACACGTTAAAAGGTGAAGGGCAATTTAAATAACGCTATTTCTCTAGTGCCATACTGGGAAAAGAGAAGCACGGAGACTTTTCTGGCAGCCTTCCTTGAGAAAATCAGGTTCCAGGCCTGCGGTGCACGAGGAGGAGGACTGGGGGGGGCTGGGGCTGCAGCCCAGCAGCAGGACTCACGTGTGACAGCTCGGGGAGGCTGCAAGCGTGGGGATTCTCCAAGCTGCAGGTGCTTTGGTGTGGGCTCAGGAGGAAATGAGCGAGACCACAAACGGCACGAGCACTGCCATTGAGTGATTTCGACTGCGGGGTCCCCACAAAGCTCACCCCGGGACACAGGGCTGCCGCAGGGATGGCTCTGGCTGGACCCAAAGAAACTCCCTCATTACCTGCTTTACCACCTAAAGCCACGTTGCATTTAAGAAAATGAATTAAAACACCTCGATACCAACACCACGCAGCGGCTTCACCACCGGGCATCCCGGTGCCTTCATTTCTAGCCGAGTCCTTTCAAGCTCCTCGCAGCCCCACTTCCTGGCACCCCCCTGCTCGAGCTCTTCCCTTTCAACAGAAGCCCTTTGAGAGACCCAACAGCTGCTCCTCGATTCAATGGGATCCTCTATTATCAGAGCAGCTGCAGGATCAGCCCTGGATCTCCCAGCACTGAGATCCCCAAAAACCAGGCTGCTCCGGAGCAGTTCAGAAAACCTGCAGATCCCAACCTGATGGGATAAAGCCCCAGGTTTCCGTGCTGAGCTCCCAAAAGGTGGGAGCAGGAGGGGTGGATTATGAGTCACTACAGCACCAGCTCTCAGTTAAACCCTGCCGGTTCGCTGCCACGGCTCCCACGCAGGCAGGGAGCAAACCGAAGCTTACGAGTGACTGAGGAAAAGAGCAGTGGAAATTCAAACACTTCCAAAGCTGCAGACGAAATGATCGAGAGGAAAAATCCGAGCTCCTGCAGCCGGAGCAGCGAGGCACGGAGCCAGGAAGAAATGAAGAGCAGCGATTCTGGTTCATGTCAGCCGAGCTCTGCAGCCTCGCTGCCCTCAGGAGCAAGGCACAGCACCGAGCTCTCCTTTTTGTGAGCTCTGCTTTCTCTTCTGGAACATCTGAAACTACAGAGTAATTGCCCAATTAACTGCAACCTCACCTCCGTTTCAGGGTACTGCTGAGAAGGAAGGAGAAACCAGCCCTCGAAATGCATTTCGTTAACTCGTTTCAAGTGTAAATTGAGCTAAAAAAGCTTTTAATAGCTGCTCTGATCAATACCAGCTCTGCCAGGGGCAGGGACGACTGCGTGTGGAGTAACGAGACGCGCACCACCTGCAGAAGGGCTGTTAATTCGAGGATAATTTAAATATTAAGGCTGTTAATTCGAGGATAACGTTAATATGAAGGAGCTGCCGCATTCAACAAGAGAACTGCACCCGGGCAGCCAGCACCGAGCTGGGCTGGCCCAAACCCTGAGGGGTATTTTGTGCTGTTTAAGAGCTCCAGTTAAGCTTACTTTTAACCCAAATGGATATTTCACTGCTGCAGCCCCAGGAGCAGCTCTCTCACACACACAGCAAAGCCCCGGGGGTTTTGGCGGGCCCCCCAAAAGCCAAATTTCAACGAACCCAAACCAAGTGCCTCGGCACGGACCCCGTCAGCACGCCCCCAACCCTCGCCTCTTCACCGAGCGGAACAAAGCGCAGGCTCGGGGGGCAGCCGGCTTCTTTCACCTCGCCCCCCCGTCCCCCTCCGTTGCTTCTTCCCTTCCCCTGCCTCCCCCCGACCTCCCCCAGCCCCCAAAACCCGGCCGGTAGCGAAGCCCAGCAGCCGTTACCGGCTCCCCTCCCCGCTCCATAACGGTGCCTGCCCCGTTACCTGCCCGGCCGCCGTCCCCGCGGCGCTGCTGGAGCTGGAGCTGGAAGGGGACGGTGGCGCGGAGCGGCTGCAGCCCCCCCCCCGGCCCGCCCCGGCCGCAGGAGGTACCGGCGGCCCCCGCCATGACCGCGCCGCCCCCCCCGCCCCGCCGCACTGAGCCCCGCGGCTCGCGGCCGCCGCTTATCAACGCTCGGGGGCGGGGCCTCCGGGAAAAGCGCGGCGCTCATTGGGCGGTTGTAAGAGCCAGAGGCTCCGCCCCTTCCCGGGTAGCCAGTGAGAGCGCGCTGCCAGCCGCTCGGTGCACGCGCTGAGAGCGCAGCCAATCGGAGGCGCCCCTAGCCTTGACGGGCGTCAACCCTCCCGCTAGAGCCAATCAAAGAGGAAAGAGAGCCTCAAGTCCCGCCTCCTCCCCGTCCCCTCACGCAACCAATCAGAAGTAACAGCCCACCGCCTAAAACCCGCCCTCCTGAGGGCGGCCAATCGCACGCCGACCCGAGCGACCCGCCCCTTCCCCGGCGCGACCAATGGGAGCGAGCCGGCGCTGTTTGTGTTCCGCAGCCCGGCGGGGCCGGCGGCCAATGGGCGGCGGGTCACGTGGGCGGGGCAGGCGCGGTTTCTCTTTCACCTTCGGAGGCCGCGGGGCACGACGGGAACGGGGCCCTAACAGAAGCCTTTGGGTAGACCTGAGGGCCCCAGGGGAGCCTTCACGCAGCCCCACGTGCAACTGGACCCTCCGTGTTCGCTCTTTCTGAGCAATCCTAAATATATCCCTACCCGCAATCGGAGAGGAATTTAAAATAGGGCCCTGTCTCGTTAAGGGGAGCTTGAGTGACTTGAGTCTTGAGTGTTTCCACTCCACGCTCTGTACTGTTCCTTAGGGTCAGCACACCAAGTTTCCCCAGTTTCCCCAGCACGACAGCATCTCAGGTTGGAAGCCCAGGAACGCTCAGGTAATGCATCTCTGCCCTACCCTGAAAGCCTCTTCAATGCTGTACATTTTCCTTAAAATGCAACTGTTAGTTTTATTTCCCTAGTTACCTCAGGCAATTACACCACATAACCCAGCCTGTGACTACAGGCACTCAAGCTTCACGAGAGTTGGAATATGTTGGGGATACCACATACATTCTTGGAATGAGGTTTTTCGAGTGTATGTACTTTGTGTATGGATGATAAACATCTCATTATCAGAGTTTAACGTACAAACTAATTGTCAGTATAAAACACAATACAGTGAGTGTTAACAGAACAGTAACAGGGTGAAGCATCTCGTTGAAGATTCCCATGGCAGCTGGCAACCATCCAAACAAAGCGTCCCACCAACGGTGTCTCTCATCTCTCTGTGCTCTTTCCATCACTCAATGTATTTCTTGGACATCATAATAGGCAGTAATCAGAGTCTTTTGTCCATTTTCTCGAACTTGTGTCATCAGCTGCTTCAGGTCCTCGTGTACCAGCAATTTCTTCACCAAGGTAAAGACAGAATTCATGAAGAGAAACAAAGGGGTGTCTACCAACGTACAGGTGTTCAAAAGAACACAAAATGCAGTGAAAAAGTCTGATAAATGCCCAAGATAGATTCCTTTTTCACTGTCAGGCCAGGTAGCTCAGCTTTTTTTCCCCTCAGATCCCTTCAGAGGGGGTCCTTCCAGCCCAGAAATTCAAATTCACCTCTCGGTTTCTTTACAACCCTTTTTGTGGCACCACAGTTTGAACCCAACACCCACAGCTGGAAGAAACCAGGCACATTCACTGCCCTGCGCCCATCGGTTAGAGCACGCAGGAGGTCACGCAGCTGTGCCTCTGGTTCCTCTGAGCCTCTCTCACACTATAAATACCACAAGGAAAACTGAAAACAAATATTCAAGTGGCTCAGCAGGGCTGAGCTAAGCACCGCTTCTGCCTCAAGTCCAAGCTTTGCTTTCCCCCAAATGCTTCCCTCCAGGTTTAAACATCTCCCATTTTGCTTTGTTGTGTAGGAAGAGGCACAAAATCCCCAGCTGTTCCCTATCAGTTGGGCTGCAGCCACACTGGCTCAGATGAGCTGCATGTTATCAGCCAGCCAAGTCTGTCCCAGCTGCACTGAGCCCTTCCGGATCCATCCTCAACCACCGCAGCACAGGAGTTAATAAAATTCAAGTTCCTGCCTTCCTGCAGGCTACTCTCGAGCCTACGCAGCGCAGCCATCTCCCCATAATTAAGGATCCTTAACGATGTGCAGCATAGAAGCAACACAACCTCTTACAGCTGCTCCAAGGCTGCAGGGCAAGGCTCCAGCTCCTTATCACCCCTGTCTCTGCTCGCTCCTGTTGCTTCTGCCGCCGCAGTTTCTGTAAGCTGACAGGAGAGCTGCCCTGCCTTAACTACCCTCAGTATCTGGAGCCCAGAAAGCCAGTCATTTGTTTCACCACCATCAGCAACCATCACAAAGCTTCAGTTATCTCCTGGTGATGGAGCAGCCTTCTGTCTGTGTCACTGGAGGAAATAACAGGCAAAGAGGAAATGTGGAAGGCTGAGCAGGTGTCACCGCAGCCCTGCCACTCTGGTGCAGCGCTCAAGTCCTAAATGAGATCACATTTCTGCCCCTTTGCTACGGGTAGGAGGTAGGCAGAGCTCAGATTTAAAGTCCTGATCATGAACGTGGAAGATCAAAGGGTCATCGAGCCCACAAGCTCAGCTTTCCCTCATTGTCCTTAAACAGAATTCCTCTCACTCCAAACTGTGCAGTAAAACGCCTGCCTGTCTGCCTCCCACTCCCCAAAAAAGGGGGCTGTTCTGCACTGCCTGACAGTTTCTGCACTCAAACGTTTGGAGACAAACAGCTCTAAGGAGTGAGAGAAATAAAACTGCCGCTTATTTAGAGACCAACGGATTATTCAGCAGACCAGCCGAGCTATTTCACAGTCTGGTCATGCTCGCAGTGAAAAACCAGTGGGAGTTTTGGGAGCGTAGCACAAGCCCTGCTAAGAGTAAGGAGACGTTACGAAATGGATCGTTTTCACTAAGTCATGGAAAGGCAGGAAGCCTCTAAAAGCATGAATCATCGATAAACCAGGAAGGAAGAATACACTTGAAAGGAATCTTGGCTGCTGCCAACATCCAAACAGAGCATGGCAGTGAGAGCGAGGCGGCGAAGGGGAGCGAGCTGGGCCAGTGCTGACTATTCAATGTGGAAGGGGGAAAGCGCACACAGCTCCTGAACAGCACAACCCCTGAGCAGCCCTCGTTTAAACAAACACCATCAGCAGTGCTGTCTCCTGCAGGGAGAGCTGTAACAAAGCGTCTCGTACCTTCAGCATCCTCTGCTGCTGCTCGAATTCCTTCCAGCCACTACAGCAGGCGTCTCGTCATCCTGCTGCTAGGACCCTGAAGCTCGTCCTGCTGGAAAACAGACACAGCAGGGATGACATTTATTATCTGGGTTGGGATCCTTTTATCACACGCTTGCAGCAGCTAAGGGACGGGATTTCCAGTTTGCTTCTACACTGCCCGTAGCGTTGAGGGCACTCAGAGCAACCCCAGCTTTGTGCCAAGCCGTGCAGGAGCTGGCATTAACACCAGGACTCGTGATCTCTGCTGGCAGATCCCACTTATCCCACCCTAAAAGATAAGATGACCTTTTCTCTCCTCCCATTCCCAACCACCCAGATTCGGGAATTATCCAACACCAGAGATTTCATCTCCGAGATTAACACGGGCTGCATTGGATGTAAGAAGTTACCCCGGAGGACTGACAGCTTGCTCAGGAGAACCTGTGTAAAAGACGTGTTAAAGAGCAGCAGCAGAAGCTGTATGTTCTCGGGACAGGCCAGCCCATGGTTCCTTCACTGGCACAGCAAATTGTCAGCGATTAGAGCTCTACTTCACCCATCAGCTACTGTCCAGCAAAGCACAGCTCAGTCACACAGCATTAACTTTATTTCCTGAGACCTAGTTTGATGAGAAAGTGTTAGAGATGTGATACAGAAAAAAAAAAAAAAGCATTTCCATAAAGGGCTGCACTTGGCACAGGAACATTCCTCTCCTAGATACCAGGCAGACCCAAGACAAGCTCCTTAAGAAGCGTTGCTGAACCTTTCCAGAACATGGCAGGGGTGAATTCTGAAGCCCGGGTACAGAAAACTGCGTGGGCAACAACTGGCACCAGGTAATTAGGAAAAAATTCAGACGCTGAGGAAAATAACCTACTTGGCTCACCTCAGGGCGCAGCACGCCAGAAGTTCATACGGGAAGAAACAACTTTTTGCCATGAATAATTACAAAAGCAGGAGTTTTAAAGGAAGTCACCAGTTCCAGCTGGCACAGAAACCTTACCCCAAGAACAGCCATTTTGCTGCACTGCACCTCAAACAGGACACGAGCCCCTGAAATCAGCAACGTTGCACATCCCAAGCATTACTATTTGCCTGTATTTTTTTCTAGCTAGAGGAATGAATAATAAAAACCGATAAAAGCTGCCGATCCCAGCCCAGGATACACTTCCTCCAGCAGTTTATCTTCAGCGTGGCATTTCTTTAGCTCCTTTAATTTTAAGGCATGGAGCTGGGCTGGTCGGCAGTCCCTTAACAAACTAAGGGAAAGATAAAGCTGAGCAACTGCCTGAGACCCAGAAGATGGCAATTTGGGACTACTTTTTAATTAGAGGAGCAAGTAGAGCCAAATTCTGCCCCCGCTATACACATATACAAGCTGTTGTTAATATCCTCAAGGTCCTTACTACAACCAAGGCATTTATGTCAGCTAGAAACTGAGCTACAAAGTGCCTGCAGCTGGTTGTCCATGGCACCACTGTCGGTTTTAAGGCAAGAACTGCCTGCAGGACAGTCCCAGAAATGCCAAAAGGGATTAGTTTTACCTTCACTTCCCACACCAGCGGGATTCTTTGTGACAAACAGGTTTTATTTTTACACTTGTGAAAGTTTGTGTCATTGGACTGAACAACCTGAGCAGAGTTTTCCTTTAAGGAAGCATGCAGTGGGCTTGATTGATTAGGAAGAAAGGCATTAACAGCAGTGCCAGGCAGTTGGAGAGCACTGCCTAGACTGGAAGGAATGTTTCAAAAGATCAGATCACAAATCCAAAAGCTGACAAGAGAATCCAAAAAAAAAACCTCTTATTTTGGCAGGAACGGGGCAAGGATGGCATAAAAATATCTGTCCTACCAACAGGCTTTAGTCAGTACCTATTTTGCCAGGGCAAAATGTACTCTTATTGCAATTATTTAATAATTAGATTATGCTACGAGACCCAGGGGAGGGAGGGAGCCGGGAAGTGTGGCTGTACTCAGCTGTAACTAAGTGAAAAACTTCTGTTTTCAGCAAGGCTCAGACTGGATCCTTTTTCCATTACAACTTAAAAAAAAAATAAAAATGATGTAGGCCAAACTGGCTTGACCTTGCTCCTGCTGCCAGAAAGCCCAGACTCCTCTCAGATGTCTGCATGCCAGAGCCCCTGGGGAAAGAGTGAGTACACAGATTCTGTTCAAGTCAACTGAAACACTCCTGTAGAGAACACAGCTAGCTGGAGGTGTAAGACATTTGGCTCAACGCGTGGTACATGGCTGCGTTTCTTCCTAAAGGGGTTTCTGGGGTTATTTATACTACCATTAAGTATCCATTCAAATCTAGACCAGGCTTAAAAAAAACAAAACCACCCACCCCAAACACACACTGCTTACCAGGAACCTGTTCTCTCCTGTTTTATCAAAGATCAGGGCATGGGAGCAGTAGCAAGGGTTAGTCCTCAACTGGTTGCTGAACTGCCTCCAAACTGGGCTCCTCTTGATGTACAACAGCTGGTGCATATTTTTATTCGCATGGGAGTAAGAAACAAATACCACGCCAATCCCAAAATAAATCCAACAGCCTAGACTAACATCAGCACTACTATTGTCTGCATTAAACACATTTGTTGCTGTTGGGTTTGCTTCTGGCCAGTGTACTAGGGCCCAGTGGAGAGCTGGCCTCTCAGCTCTGAACAAGCCAAGGCTCAGAAAATACATAATGCTGCACTCACTGCCAGCCCAGGCCCCCCAGCTGATTTTCTACCCCATTAAATTCTGTCTTTGCACCTCCTACAATTTGGATACACCTATCAGCATTGAACTCGTTTGCATATCACCGACTAGACTTTGTTTAATCCAGTCAAGAACCAAATTCAAGCTCCTCAGCTAGCGAGAAAATAATTTAGGCTCCAATCCCTGCTCTAAAGCAGGGCCAATGCAGATCAGGCTGCTCAGGGACATGTCCAAAAATACAACCAGCAGCGAGGCCCTCAAGTACAGTAAAAGGGCCCTTGTGAGAGACAGCGACCCACTTTAATACAGACATTGAGGCCACATCAAATTGGGATCAGAAATTCTTCAAGTTTCTTGGACCCACAGGTTCTCTTGCTGCTGCTCTGCTGCCCTGACCTTCCACATCTAAAAGCCACACACTGAAAGGAATTAAGCTGGAACCCCAACCAGGTGAAAGTCACCTGAACTCACCTTCAGAAGACGTGAAAGTGCAGTGAAGCAGCCATCCTGGATCTTCCTATCTGTGTAACAATGTTCTGGATCGTTGCAGCACTCAAACATTACCCCAGTCTTTCCGAAAGCTCTAGCCCCCGGGGCTGGACTGAGATGGTGCCTAAAAGCAAGTAAGATTTGATGAAATACAACACATTAATGAAAATCTGCTATAAAAACATCTGGTGCTTGTCCTACTTGCCTTAAAACATGCTTAAGCTGGTAAAGTAACCCTGTAGGAATGCAGCATAACAAATAATGCACGAGGCAATTAAAGTGATTGCTTTAACATTTATAAAGCACTTAAGCAGCTGAAATACCTGACGTAATTTACAAGCATTTATTCTGCTTCCTAATTCCTACATAAACAAACCTACTTTCTGTTACCACTACCGTAAGCGATGGCCACATTAAGATCCCTCAGGCAGATCCCTCAATGCCATGTCTCAAGAGCAAGTGGAAACCCAGGGAGTAAAATGGATTTTAAATCTCATTTCAACCTCTTGATGCCCGTATCTGTTTATGGAGACTTCTGTGTGTGGAAATTTCCTTTTAATCTCCCATGTTTTTTTTAAGATTCAGCAAGAGATCCTTCTGTTTAAACAGAACACTTCAGTTTCAATGAGTTTTGGTGAGGATAAAGACCTAGACAGGCTTCAACAGATTTAGCTGGATTTTTTGGTAGCTTAACTCTGCTGACAGCAGCAGCAATTTAGAACATATACACACACATTTACACATATATATACAAGCACCTAGGATTTAAAAAACAAAACTCACTTTTTTGTGTCGTTTAACATGACATTTCAAGACATCAAGCACATGCTAAACTTTAATCTTTAGGTGTCACACCAAGAAATTCCTCATTCCCTACTTGGAAAATGTGGACAGTTACAAGACTGAGTGCAGCTTTACAACCTTACTGAGGGGGTTTACCTCCGGTGGAGATAGGTATGAGCAGAGGCTACGCTGATTTTGCACCCTGAAGGTATCATTCCTTCTCTTTGCAAACCAATTCCCAATTTCACTCGCTCAGGGTGAAGCGGTTTCATGCACTGACATCTAGTGGCGAAGACAAACGCAGAAGGCACCTGCAGGCACAGGCAGCCTCTCCAGTTTCCCATCTCTTCATGTTCTCCCCCAAAATAGACCTAAAATTTCAGCTCTGACAAATGCTGGTAACAGAACACCTTCTATACTAATCGTTGGCACGTGGCCGAGGTCTCTGCACATCCTCCACACGCAAATCCAGTTTAAAAATAAAGATTTTTATTTCTACCAGAAGCCTCCTAAGTTTGGGCTGGCTCTTAAAGTTTTAACAATTAAGTGCTGCAGCCCTCATACGATGCACAGTTTTCAAAAGAGGAACCCTTCAGCTATCACTGACAGGTAACTGTTTCAGTGGGATATGGTAATGTGGAACTTTTTACGCCTTCATCATATTCTTTACTCTTTTTCATCCTGCAGTTGAATTTAGGTACTGGCAAGGTGCAAACACGTTATGTTAAAGCCACCTTTTAAGCTAATTGTCATTTTTTCTTACAATGATAGATTCTACTTAATGCAAGAAGAGAAAAGATGAAGATACAATCTGTAAGACCTTTAAAACCTTTTTTGTTGCTCCTGACTGCCCCACATTTCCATTAGAGCCCTTCATCGGTTTGCAACATTAAACACATCCACTCCTGCAAAGTCTCCGCTTTGTCTCATGGAAAAGAGATAACAACTATGATGTGTTCAGAGTAACTCCTTCCTTCTCTACCACACTTTTCTTCATTCTCATCCCTACCGCCCTTTGGGGCAATAGTTTTAAGCACAAATTATAATCTTAAACTAAACATTTCAAGCTCGTCTAATACCTGGAGAGCATAACGTTCGTTAGCCTATCGCTAGATTTTGGCTTAACCACAATTTGAGATTCACTTAAATTTCAGTCAGTCTTCACGGATACTGCTCTTGTAGCACTGAGTACGCCACGTGCATTCCCTGCAGCAGCGTTTTCTGCAATCACCTTGCCCCAGGAGGTTTGCAAACTGCTTCACTGAAACGCCCAGGCTTACGAACGAGCTGTTCCCCTTCCTGGAGTTTTCATGTGCACCGTTTTTATCTTGCATATACGTTTATTTGCAACAAACACGAACGTTCCCACTTCACCTACCACACACACTGCTCCCCATTCTCCTCTGCTTGGGCAGAAGCAGGGAGCTTTCATCTCAGCTTCTTCTTCAGGTTTCCTTTCCAACATCTCCCAGGAGATCGGCCACACCTAGGAGCAATGACAGCTTGGTGTGAAAGAAATCACTATCCCTGGAGGTCTTTAAAAGACGTTTCGATGTAGAGCTTAGCGATATGGTTTAGTGGAGGTCTGTTGGTGTTAGGTCAGAGGCTGGACTCGATGATCTTGAGGTCTCTTCCAACCTAGAAATTCTGTGAAATGCTGTGGGATCACTTGCACGAATAAGGACGTGTAACCACAAGGATTACAGGATTAGGCCCCGATTACTTCACAATCTGTAGAGCAGAGCTAACCACAGTTGCAAATAAATCAATACTTGACTATTCACCCTTATTTTTACCCCAGTTCTTGCATTCGTATCGTGGATATATCACCCTCAAGCAACTCCTGCCTCAGCTACAACCCAGGAAAGGGCTCGCAGGCGACCCTTCCCCAAAAGCAGCTCCCCACAGAGCGCTTGGAGGGTACAAAACGCCCCTAACGGCCACAGCCCCCCCGTGAGGGGAGGGGAGCCGGGGGCAGCCCGCCCCTGAGGGACCCGCCCAGGGAAGCGGGGCCGGCCGGGTCGACGCTGTGAGGAACCGGGGCCTCGGGGAGGCCGCTCCCGGCAGCGGGGCAGCCCCCGGGGTCCCCTCACCGCCCCCCCGGCCCGAGCAGCCCCCGGGACTCACCGCCGGCCGCCCCCAAACGGCTCCGTGAAGCGAGAAGGCCCCGCCACTGCCCGGCCCTAAGATGGCCGCCACGGGAAAGCGCGGTTTGCCCGCAGTTAAGATGGCTGCCTACGGAAAAGAGCCGCTCCGCTCCCCTCTGGGCAGCCCGCCGGCTTCCTGCCCTCACTCAACATGGCCGCTGCTGCAGCGCCCGAAACCAAAATGGCCGCCGGTGGCTTCACCCTCAGAGGTGCCGCCGGGATGCCTGCCCGCAGCTAAGATGGCGGCGCCCGCTGGCGTGAGGCTGGCTCGGGGTCACGTGACGGGGGGGTGTGGACCGTGTCCCGGCGGAAGCGTGAGGGACCGAGCAGGGAACAGGGGCTGGCGGCGGGAGCGGGCTGGCGCCGCCGGAGCAGCCGTGCCGGAGGACGGGAGACGCGGCTGTCACCACGGAGCCCGCCGGCGCTAACACGGCGGCGAACGCCGCTTCACGGCCTGGGGGCGCCGGGGACCAAGCAACCTCGCTGCCCCCGCCCCCGCCGAGGATGCCGCGCAGGAAGGTGAGCGCGGCCGGGGGACCGGGGAGGCGACCGGCGGCCAAGCGACCGGCCCGGGCTGCGGCAACCCCCAGCTCCCTGCCCCCCTTCAGCTGCTTCTCACGGGCACAAAACCGGGGGGAAAATAGCGGCCTTCACCCCCCAGCGCCCGCCCCCCTCGCTCCCTGAATGGCTGCCGCAGGGGCCCGCCGGGCGCTGATTGGTCGCTGTAGCCGTCACTCATCGCCCCCAACGGTTACCGATTCCCTCCCCCCCGCCTGTAGCGCGGTCCGCCTCCTGGCTTTTCCCATTGGGCAGGCGGTTGGAGAGCTGGCCGCGTATTGGTTGGGCTGTCTTGCCGGGCTGGCCGCTGATTGGTCTTCACGGCTGCCCATCTACGCCCCCAACGGTCACCTCCCCGCGCGTGCCTTGTTCCTCCCTTCCCCCATCCCACTCCGCCCCCCCGGCTGGATGTTTGTGGCAGCGAGCCTCGAACCGATTGGCTGCCGGCGCGCGTCAATCATCCCCATCCGCCCCGCCTTTTCCCTCTCTGAATCCCCTATTGGCCAGCTCTCCCTTCGGCTCCCTCCCGCGCGCGTTCTGATTGGCCGGGGCCGGCGAGGCTCGGCTGGGCGCAAAACAAAGCGGCGCGGGGGCCGCGCTCGCGCCGCGGCTGGGCTGAGGGGAGGCTGCGGCCCGCCCGCGGCCCTGAGGCGAGGCGGGCGCCGTCGTGTGCCCGGCGCCGCCTTCCCCGTCCCCCGCTGCTTTCCCCGACCCCTCCTGCTTCCCCGGGGAGCCCAGCGCTGTTTATTCCAGCACCTGCTGCCGTTGGGCTTCGTCCTCGGTTGCTTTGGGCAGCAGCTGCTGTGGGAGCTCTGTTGGCTCGGCAGCGTGAGGCAACAACACGTCCTGCCCGCCCTTCAAATTCCCAAATTTACTTTTTGCTTTAAATAAAGTCGTGTGTTGTTTTGGGGCTTCTCAGTTCATCTGTTTTCGGCAGCCTGTTATTGCATCAGGCGTTGCCTGTCAGTGCATGTGTTACACAAAAATATTGCCTCTGGAGGAAAACGCTTGATATATTAGTTTGAATACCTCATAAAATCACAAAATCATTAATGTTGGAAAAATCCCCCACCATCACCTCATCCAGCCATCCCGTACCACCAATGTCACCCGCTGAACCATGTCCCCAAGCGCCACGTCCAACCTTGAACACCCCCGGGGTCGGTGACTTCACCAATTTAGCATCAAGCGGTGTCTTATTTCTGTGCGTCCTCGTAGCATAAACACAGTGTAATAAATTCAGTGCCTTTGTGCTAACGGCTGGCTCTGTGGTGTTGTAGAGGAACGCAGGCAGCAGCTCAGACGGGACGGAAGACTCGGATTTCTCCACCGACCCGGAGCACACAGACAGCTCGGAAAGCGATGGCACCTCACGACGCTCTGCCCGCGTAACCCGCTCCTCGGCCAGGCTCAGCCAAAGCTCTCAAGGTGAATGATTCGTTGCCTTAAACACAGAAGTGGCAGGAGGCTTGGTGTGTGCCGCCTTCCTGACCTTTGTAGCTTAAACGCTTGGATTTTGTACCTGATGTGGCGCTCCCACTGGTGGGAGAAATCAAATCCTCCCCTCTTCAAAAAGTCAAGCTGTCTGCTTAAAGGAGGTGGGAATCAAACCCCTTCATTCTGCTGCCAGCTCTGCCTAATTTGGCTGAGAACTGTAATTACTTTCCACCTAATTAGTCAAATTGTTACCATAGAAAAGCTCGATGGATTTGTGTTTGAGGTTAAGTGTTAGTTTTGTTTTGTTTTGTGGGGGGGGTTGTCTGTACAGCAAGATGCATTCTCGTGACTTGCCGATGCTACTTTGCAATAAACTGTAATTAATGTATTGATCATTATTTTTTACGCTTCTACTGTGGCATCCAGAGTGTATGAGGAAGCATTGAATGTGTCCATCTCCTCAATTTTAGTTTTAGTGGAGCCATTCCCTGTCGGTTAATTAATAAGCTGCCATGTGGAGGCATAAGGGGAGGAAATGACCTTAGATAAGTTTGTTCCGTTGCTTTGTGTATACACTTTGTCAAATAATCTGGTTTGTGACAGATTTTCTTGCAGGTAAGAAATAGATGTGCGCAGTCATCTGGTGGTTAGGCTTTAAAAACAAGAGGAAAGGTGTTTTAGCATATGGGATGTTTGTGATATTGCTAGGGTATGAAAGCAACATTTTCATTCCAAATAATCAGTTTTACAGGCTGAGCAGTATAGGTTTACAAAACCAGAAATGGGGTCCCAAATATAGCTCCACACCAAAAGCAGCTTTGATGTTCTCAAGGGTTGTTTAAATGCTGATAGTTCTTATCTAGGCTAACTGTTATTAGCTTTGCAAATGGGAGTCATTTTGTAATTACTAGCTAATTAAGTAATTGCATCCAGAGAAAGTGGATCTAATTCCAGATTCCTCAGTGTTTGTACAAGTGTCTGAGTTGTACGCTCAGAAGAACAGAGCCAACAGAGACCTATCTTTTTGCTAACACACAGTAGTAGGATACGAGTCTGTGTTGACACCCAGCTGTCAGATGTTAGTATTACAGACCTCAGAGCACGTGTGAGGCAATTCACTGAATTACAGTGGTTATTGTAGATGTAATTATGGTATTTCCATGAAATTAGATTCCAGCCCAGTTCGTAATCCACCGTCATTTGGAGCAGAAGAGCCCGTCTATTCTACGAGGAGGGTAACTCGCAGCCAGCAGCAGCCCACTCCTGTGACTCCAAAGAAATACCCGCTCCGGCAGACTCGTTCATCTGGATCAGAAACTGAGCAAGTGGTTGACTTCTCTGACAGAGGTACGTAGGGTGCAGTGAGGTGTCGAGAGTTTGCAGAATGCTGTTGGAAAGAGTACGTGACTCTGTTCTCTGTGGGCACAGTGTCATATCCTGAGGATAGAGGCTTTGAGACAGCTGTCCAGAGTTGCTTTACGTATTTTTTTGAAAGCTTTCTTTCAGACCAATTTGTAACATCTTGATCCTTATTCAGACACTAAAAATGCAGCGGATCACGATGAGTCTCCACCTCGTACCCCCACCGGGAATGCCCCTTCCTCAGAGTCTGATATTGATATCTCCAGTCCAAATGTATCCCATGATGAGAGCATTGCCAAGGACATGTCCATGAAGGATTCTGGAAGTGACCTGTCTCACCGCCCTAAGCGCCGCCGCTTCCATGAAAGCTACAATTTCAACATGAAATGTCCCACTCCTGGTTGTAACTCTTTAGGTAATTTCAGCTCCAGGATTAATTTGTTGATTTTTGCTTTCCTGCGGTGATATTCAAAGTCCCCCTCAGTTGAGTTATACAATTTTACAATATGCACTTAGTTAGGATCAGCAACATTACTGAGAAGTGGGTATAGAGAAGGGATATGGAGCATATCAGCAGGTATATTCTTCCTGGAGGTGTTGTCTCGATGGGAATGTTTGGGAGATGATGGGATAAAGAGCAAGTCAGGAGTGTGAGCACAGGTGTGGGAGGAAAATGCAGAGTTTTGCAGGCAGGGTTCTGGTCTCTGACAAAAGCAGGTTTTCATAAACAAATGAATGCAGTCGTTTAATAGATCTGGGTGCTTGCATGAAATGCAGCTAGTATGAAAAGGATTTTCTTTCTTTGTTCTCAAAGCTTGTGCAATGAACCATGAAATGTTTTCCTCCTACCACACCGGTAATAAACTGAGTATCTCCCCGAGAAGCTTGTATGCATTATCTGGCCATCTGTGATACTTTTTAAACCTCTTTACGATCATGTGGTAAAAGCTTTTATTTCTGATTCTTTGCAGGCCACCTAACTGGAAAACACGAGCGACACTTCTCCATATCAGGATGCCCGCTGTATCATAATCTCTCAGCAGATGAGTGCAAGGTAACCAAGTCTTCTGTTTTATCTTCCTTATGCTTTTATGGAACAAAATGTCTAGACTTGGAAATGGAGAAATGGAAACCAGAGAAATAGAAAAGATGGAAGCTTGGATAGTCGTTTGCTGCAGTATTGACAGATGAGTTTTGATTTCCAGGTGCGAGCACAGAGCCGAGATAAACAGATTGAGGAGAGGATGCTGGCCCATCGGCAGGATGACAACAACAGGCATGCCACCAGACACCAGGTAAGGCTGCTTAGTTCAAACTGGAAAAACCTCATCTTGTGGTTTCCAGTGACAAAGACTTTAACTTGATCTCCCTTCTTCACTTGTCGGATAAGCTATTGTGCTGAGTCCTGACACTCCCATTTGCCATCTCCAATTTGTTTCAGCGGGGGAAATTTATTTTATCCCTTCAATGAGAGGCTGGAACAGCTAGTGAGAGCCGAGAAATGGCATCGGCCAGTAATATTACAAAGGAGGCTGGAAATGTTCTCAGGATGATCTTTTCTGAGTGCTTTGATGTGTATGACAAGAGAATTTCTGCAGAACTGTAAACTACCATTTTCCTCTGACTAAATCAAAGAGGATATAACCAAAGGGAATTACATTTCTCAGTTCACGAGACTTGAGCTTGAATCAAAATGATTTCATGAGTCAGCTTTGAGCTTTCCACATGATTAAGCAGCACATAAGGAATGCACCCTGTCTTGTGGGACTGAGGTGCGTTGGCAAATGCAGGCCACAGAAGGAAATAAAATTTACTGGTTTACATTCTTGTGTTCTACTTGAAGTGCTTTCTCATGTGTGCAGGTTTGGTTCAGAGACAACAAACGTGGTCAAATAGAAGCCAGGGCAGAGGTTCTTTAGGGTGAGAAGGTGCAGGAAAATGTTTGAAGTGGATGAAGCCTAAACAAGCTTTCAACCTCTTTTGTTTTGTTTTATTTCAGGCACCAACCGAGAGACAGCTTCGGTACAAAGAGAAAGTAGCTGAGCTCAGGAAGAAGAGGAACTCAGGATTAAGCAAGGAGCAAAAAGAAAAATACATGGTAAAAGCAGCAGTTTTATTCTTTGATTCCTTCCTGCCTGGAATGAGACCACTAAGTGGGAGTTTGGTTTTAGCAGTCATCCTGCAACATCCTCAGCTGGAAAAGCTGCAAGATTCAACAGCTGAGTTGCAATACAGTGGCAAAAACTCTCATTGTTTTCTTGTTCCAGGAGCACAGACAAACGTATGGCAATACTAGGGAACCTCTACTTGAAAACCTGACTAGTGAATATGACCTTGAGCTTTTCCGAAGAGCACAAGCACGGGCATCTGAGGACCTGGTGAGAGTCCTAAATCATAATATGTCTCATAGCAAATGTATTTGTTCAGAAATGTTTTCTGGGGTTTGTGGTACTTGTGCAGGTAGGTGCTTTTCTTATTAGAACTTCTGCAGCCCAGCCAAGTCAGCAGAGTTAGGCTAGGGCTAACACTGAAGTGAAGTCATTCAGAGGGTTTGCTGAAAGAACAGCTGGAGCTGAAAATCTTCAGACAAATGCTACAGTGCCTTGTAAGAGCAATAATTAGTAACAGTCTTATTTAAGAGGTGTTTCTTTTCAGTGAGAGAGCAGATAGCTTCACCTGCTGAAACAATAGCTAAAAAGTGATTAAAAACAAAAGACAGAAGCCCTATTGATATGAGCCAGTGGCGTTGAAATGGAGTTCAACTTACATTGTTTCTGTAGGTGCTTTTCAAAGCTACCTTCCATCTCCAGAAATGAACTAAGACATATTTTAATGCTTACTGGTAACAACTGCATTTGGGATATCTTAAGGCAGGGCATTAGGCTGTATCCCTCTCCCTGCGGGGCTCAGACAGAGTTTGCTTAAATTTAGAAGACTTGAAGTGAAGGATCTCCCTGAGGGAAATAAACAGGGCCCCTTCCTCTCAACATCCTTTTAAATCTTTTTTTTTTTTAATAGCCATCCATTTATTTCATTCAGTAGGAAAAGTTGCGGCTCCAGGGCCAGATCACAGAAGGCAGCAATATGATTAAAACAATTGCTTTTGGCCGTTACGAACTGGACACGTGGTATCATTCTCCCTACCCAGAGGAGTACGCCCGCCTGGGCCGTCTCTACATGTGTGAATTCTGTCTCAAATACATGAAGAGCCAGACAATACTGCGCAGACACATGGTAAGGTTTGGGGTAGATGTGATTCCTGAGCTTTAAATCAGCTGTGAGCATTTTTAAACATCATTACTCTTGTTAGTTCAGTTCTTCACTTCAGGGGGTGAGAAGATTCTGTGTCATTTTGAAGGAAAGGCCACTTTTCTAGATGCAGGCTTGATTTCTGTCCCATTTAGTGGATTACAGAACAGAAAAGGGACCTGGAATTATTATTTTTTTTAATCATAGCTAAAAAGTCTGTATGTTTCCTGATACATCCAGTAGCTGTTGTAACCTGTTCTGTCCTTAAAATAGTAGTGTCACCCTGATTTTGTTTGCTTGTCATAGGCAAAATGTGTTTGGAAACATCCACCGGGTGATGAAATCTACCGCAAAGGCTCCATTTCAGTTTTTGAAGTTGATGGGAAAAAGAACAAGGTAACTAATTGCAATAAGAAGCCATTCTTGATTGTGGAGTCCATCTTTCAAATGTGCCAAGCTTTTCCTGTAGAGAAACGGGATGCAAATGGCCCTTTCTCTCTAATGGAAGAAAGGCTGCTACAGTTGGATCTGTCCAGTTTTGCAATTCTGGCAGTCATTTTATCTGCATGCTCTTTGTGGTTATTCCTCAGAGCTGTTTACTGGGGGTGGCCTCCTTAACCCTCAGTTGAAAGGCAGAACCTGCGCTGAACCAGTGGTTACAGATTCTAGGTAGAAGCCCTGCACTTGTGCGCTGTTTCTAGCTGTGTCCAGTCTTGAAGGCTTCAGAGGGAAGGAAAAAAAAAAAAAAAGCTAACTTTTGCATTGCTGGAAGTTGGGAGGAGTCTTTTGTATTAACTGCAGATGACCTTGAAGGCTGGAATAAATACAACACAGTACAAGCAAGCAGAGATGCAACCTTTGCTCCCCTTCACTGAGGATGTGATGTTTTGAACATTCAGAGATTAATATCACAAACAAATTCCCACCCTCCAGAAGCTAGGCTTACCAAGTTTCATCATAAATGGAATTGTTTCCCAGCCCAGCTGCCCTATTAGACTGTTATTTCTCAGATGATTCAGAACTTTCTTCTCATTTCCCTTGTATGTCTGTTTTTCTGCCATGCTTGGCACGTGCTGCCATAATAAACAGGTGTGTCCTACTCTCCTTTTGCTTCTAGATCTACTGTCAAAACCTGTGTCTGCTGGCAAAACTTTTCTTGGACCATAAAACACTGTATTATGATGTTGAACCCTTCCTGTTCTATGTCATGACAGAAGCTGACAACACTGGCTGTCACCTGATAGGATATTTCTCCAAGGTTAGTTTGGAAAAAATCTTTATGTGTACTTATTATCCTAGATCACTAGGATGAGGTTTAGGACACAGGGTTATTGGTACTGCATCTCTTCTCCAAGTCTTTGCAGTCTCAGGACTTGTTGCTTCCAGGAGGAGATAGTTTCAAACCTTCTCAGTGTGAGTTGTTCCTACTGTTCACTGCAGGGACTGAAGGTGCTTTGCTGTAGCATCTTTTGGCATTACTAGCAAAAAACAAATCAGCTCAGATAAACTATTGTCACCTGTAAGCATAGTGGTGTCTTAAATGTAGGCAAAAGTAATGTTTAAACAAAATCTAAAAAGATACAGAGGAAAAATACATCTAAAAAAAGTATTAGTCACCGTGTTTTTTTCTTACAAAGTACTTGGAGGAATAAAAACTCTTAGATGGAGAAGCTGAGAAGTTCAAGTAACTTAAACAGATCCCCCAAGAAAGTCACTGGCTAAGCTTAGAGTGTCCAAGGCAATTTTCTGGACTCTATTCTGTGCCCTGTTTGCTCAGTCACATTGCCTGCCTAAAAAAATGGGCAATCTCTTTGTTTAATCCCAAGTGTCAATAACTGAGAGTGTTACTGGCTCCTTCTCAGGTACAGCTTCATGGCTGCCATCCCAAGCTTTAAAATTCTCCACTAAACACCCAATGGCTAATAAAGTAAGATGCTAAGCTAGACTGGTAGCTGAAGGATAATCACGTTACTTGTTTTTAGGGAGGTTTTCCTCCCGTTGATCCTTTCTCCTGTATTGTATCAGTTGCACAGGCTTGTTCTGTCTGTTGGGATTCTGATATACCCAATTGTAGGTGCAGATCTAGATCTGTTAACCCATTCTCTGTGTTCTTGGTTCTAGGAGAAGAATTCTTTTCTCAACTACAATGTTTCTTGTATCCTGACAATGCCTCAGTACATGAGGCAAGGTTACGGCAAAATGCTCATTGATTTCAGTAAGTATAAAGAGAAAAATTCTGGGAAAATTCTGTCCAGTATGACAGCTTCACCAAAAATCTAACGTGTCTGGTGACTTTTGAGCAGTTGTCATTATACCCCATCTCTGCTTGTGCTGAGGAGGGTAACAGTCAGGATAAAGTAGTTTAGGAAGGACAAATAACTTTTTTTTTTCCTTTACAGGCTATTTGCTTTCTAAAGTAGAAGAAAAAGTTGGCTCTCCAGAACGCCCTCTGTCTGATCTGGGTCTCATCAGCTACCGTAGTTACTGGAAGGAAGTTTTGCTTCGTTACCTGCATAATTTCCAAGGAAAAGAGATCTCTATAAAAGGTATGTTTTCAACCTGAACAAACTTGTTGTGGGTTGGTTCAGGAGCATACCAGTGCATCCTCATTTTCCTCAAATGTGAGGTAGGTCACGCATTGATAAAGGTGTTTGTGTAGCAGCACAGTGAGTGGAATGTTCCTGTATTTGGGGATGGCTCCTTTCCAGTCCTGCCACCGTTAACAATAAGCCAACTTGCAGAGTTTTGAAACTGTGTGCTGGCTTCTTCTTTTAAAAAACATTTTTGGAAAAGGTTCAGTAAAGAACTTCATACAGCTCCAGATTAGAATATTAATTTTAAAAAGAAAACCAGGCTACTCAGTTGGCCACAAACCCAGTGGCTTTCAACCATTTTAGATAAAAGCTAAGATTATTTAAACTTCTTTTAATAGCATTTTTATATGCAAAACAGGTCCCTAGGAATATGCTGTATTTCATAGCAATATCAAGGTTGTTCTGAAAAAGCTGCTATGCCTTCTTAGAGAGGGTTGCAGCATACTAACTTGGATCCTAAAAGCAGTATCACTAATTCATTACAACATTCTGTTTCAACTGATTATTCCCCACTGACTGATTATTGCTCAGTTTTGGGGTAAGCTGGGCTGTTTCTCTACAGCTCTGCGTGGCTTGTATCCATAACTTGTGTTTCCTCAAGCTAGTTGTAATCCATCAGTCCTCTAGAGCAAAATGACCACAGACAAGTGGTCAAGCAGATTACCAGGATGGTCAAAGGGTGCAAGTCAGGCAGCAGCAATAACACTGCATTTTAACGCTCCTTAGCAAGGCATTTTGTGTGTATCACCTCAAAAGGCATTGCCTAAGACTCGTGGTTGAAATCTATTATAGGGCATTGCAGTGGAATGTGTTTCTGTTCTAACATCCTCTGCTACTGGTTTGCAGAAATCAGCCAGGAGACCGCTGTAAACCCCGTCGACATTGTTAGTACACTGCAGGCACTTCAGATGCTGAAGTACTGGAAGGGAAAACACCTGGTCCTAAAAAGACAGGTAAGATTTCTGATGGCTCTTTCTGCGCTCCTTTCTTTACATTTAGCTGTTGCATTCACATGAAGTGGAATCAGCATTATTTGTTTTGTGCTGGGTTTCCCAGCCTTTTTATTCTAGTGGGGGAGCACTGTAATTCTGAAGTGCAGTAACTAATAAAATAAAGCATGGGCATGGAGCATTATTCTTTAGTAGTGTAGAAACACGCTGCACCAACTGTACTTTTTTTTTTCCTGTATGGAATAACATTACTCATTGTAAGCAGCTTTTAGGGGAGCAATGGATCAACATTCCCATCGTGCTCCTCATCATGCCAACCCTTTACTGGGCAAACGTATGAGACAGTACTGAGCTGAATTCATGGAATCCTGAATGTGTCATGTTTGCATCCTCATTAGAAATGAGACAAGTGGTTTATACATCCCAGAATATACAACAGTTTCTCTTATTCCCTTCCCCTTCCCTGAGACTTTACTTTGTAGCTACCAGTAGCTTTATCAGTGTGGTTGGAAGTGCTTCTAGAAAGAGCTGTTATTTTTGTCATGCTCAGCAGTTAGTGAGTGGGCTGCTTCCCCAGATCTTCAGATTTCTGGACTTTGATGTTTGGTGCTGTACCGTGGATAATTCTCCAGCATGGACTGTTTGTTTTTAACCCCCCTTTTCTTGCTCTCTTCCCCAGGATCTGATTGATGAATGGATAGCCAAAGAGGCAAAAAGATCCAACAGCAATAAGATAATGGATCCCAGCTGTTTGAAATGGACCCCTCCTAAGGGAACTTAACTGCCTGTCACTCCTGAAGCCAGTGAACCCCAGCAGTAGGAAATACCCTAGGGATCTCTGTTGTATCTGTTGCTGTTGTGATTGGCTGGTACAGTACCCTCCCGAAAGATCAGTTCCCCTTGGTACTGTTCTGGCCCAGATCTTTTGTGCACACCACAGGCGCTAGTTCTGAGGAACTTTATGTTTCGGCCTCAATGAGGTTGCAAGGATTGGATCTGTATAGGACCCAAACAAAGCTCCTAGCAGCACTGGCCCAAGGAGTTCTGATATCTGGTACTGTACCTGTCCAGTCACTGGTCTTACCCTCGCGTTCTTATTCCAATGAGGTTGTGTTGTGTCCTGTAATCTGGTTGTTTTCTCCTTCAGGTTCCTTGCTTTGTACGTAACGGAGATAACTTCTGTGGCTTTTGAACAAGGTCTAATAGTGCTTGTTTGGGGGAAGTCTGGTTTTCTAACAAGCTGCAATTACACTGACTTCAGCATTTTAACTAGTCCTGCCTGAGGGACTGTTCCATTCCGTATATCAGATAGTTTTAGTAAGGTAATACGTCACCTCTTTCAGCAGTGTTTTCCATATGATATAGCAGGTCTTCACATAGATAATATTGTGCAGTCAGAAGCTTACATATCTTGTAACTGAGTGGTGTGATTGTTAATGTTAACCCCACAGGAGTCAAGGCTAAGTGTCTGAGAACATCACAGTCACCTGCTTCATGGAGTTGCTCTTGGTACGGGCTCCTGGAGCTACCACAGTACCACATCTGTTGGAGAGACCTTTCATTACACGTTGCTGCTTTCCTGGTTTCTCTCTTAGAGTTGGTGGGTTCCTTTACACAGAAATAGCCCCTTTCAGTATATTTCACTGGAGATATTTTTTTTCCCAGAATGGTCTTCCTTGAGTCATACTTCTCTTCCTACTGGAGAGGATTTTTTCCTCTAGACTAAAGAAATAAAATCTTAACTATAGATAGATATTTGATAGCCTTGTCCAAACAGCCACAGAAACTCTGAAACACAAATATTGTCAGTTGTTGGATTGCCTACAGTGTACGTTCTGTGCATCAGCGGCAGCTCCAGTAAGCTACGTGGATGGTTTGCTTCTCTGACAGTGCATCCTTGTTTGTCTGTGTAAAACAAAAAAGCTTTTACTTCCTCTGTCCCATCAGCACCACTGGAAGAAACTATTGTACAATGGCTTTCAAGTATAACCACTGTCCTTGTGCCACAAGTTTGCTATATGGCTCCAATGGGATTAAAAGTAGGGGGGACACAGACGTGGAGTAGAAGATGGCAGCATCACGTAGTGCCAATTTCCTTTGAACTTCCAGTGCTTTCTCACTGAATGGTGACTGAAGTGAAGCACTTGCAGTGTACCGGTAGGTAGGAGCCGTTTCCTGTTAACCACTGACCCATCCTTATGTGGAAAAGTTCTCTATCGCCCTTCTGATGGTTGTCTGCCTTTCTCTGCCTCCCTTTAAAAAAAAAAAGAAAAAAAAAAGAAGAAAAAAAGAAGAAAAAGGAAAAGGAGAAAAAAAAAAGATCATCAGTACATGATGTATACTTTGTGGGCATTACTGAATTTTGCTGTTTCATGCCCTTTGCTCTTGTATTGTAACTAACTCCAGATACTCATAAAACTATCCAACAAAGTAGATCTCTTGTGGAGTAGGGAAGAAGGCCATTCTCGTGCAGAAGCTAAACCCTGTTCCCATGATGTGGTAGAATGTGCTATTCTTGTATCTACTTCTCAATAAAGCATGTTCTCTGCTCATGTTTGTGCCTTTTCATTTTTATTTTATCAGATATGCTCTCCTGCAGCTTCATTTAAGTGAAGCTGGTGCTTTCTGTTGCAAGGGACTAATTTTGAACCTGTCTTTGCGCCTGGTGTGTTAAGGATTGGGACTGTAGCAGCCTCTGAGTTGGATGGTTTTGAGGTCGCCTGTATTGTATGTTCACTGGAGAGCTGATTGTGCCCAAGAGGCTACGATGAGGTTGTTGCCAGATGCTGGCCAGATGCTGGCAGCTTAAGTATGTCATCCAAAACCGGGATAGCACATGGCAACCTGAAGTTCTTGTAAGAAGGAAGGATTTGTCCTGAAAGTGATAGCCTTAGATTTTCAGCCTTTTCTTCTCCACTTCCATGACCGTTTCCCCTTGCTTCTTGTGCTATGCCAGGACATGGGGCTGCAAAGTCCTTCAAGTTCAATAAACAGCAGCTGAAGTTCAGTGCATTGCTCAACCATTTTGAGTCTTTGATGCAATTCTGACACCAGACAGTCTGCTTTTCTGCGTAACTCAATGGAACGAAGAGGAGAAAAAGTTCTTTGGACTCTGGGTAAGCTGCAGAGAGGCTCGGGTGCTGTTAAGAGTGAGTCTGATGTGTTGGTGATCATAGCTCGGGACTCCACATTCTTAGCTTATAAACAAACAAATCGAGATGTTCTGTTGGAGATGGCTGATGACTAGATAATCAAACCCCCACACATTTCCCTGAGCAGTGGTGTTTGTTAGCTCACCGCAAGGCTCTTCCTATTTCTGTCTTAATTTAAAGACCATTTCCTTCATTTAAGATCATTAAAGAAATGGCGTTTGGGAGCATCGTGCTTTGCACAATGCCAGTTGCCCTTTTTATTTGTGCAAGTACAGAGGGAGACAGCGTGATTTAGTTTGCAGATCTCTGCACAGATAGACAAGAGGGTAAGTGTTTTATTGGCCACGCTGCTCTGCTGTGTGACAGCCAGCCCCTCCACGCTTGTTTCCCTTATTCTGTCTGTTTATGCTGCGAGTTCACTGGGGCAGTGACTCTCTCCCTGTACGAGTACAATTCTTAACACGATGGGGCCTCATGCTTGACTGAGACCTCTGCATCCTTCGGTAACGCAAACACTCGTTGAGCAGTGAGTCATACAGATAGCCATAAACATCTCCGGGTAACCAGAGGCTGAGACATGCAACTGCTCACAGTTTCACCCACGGTTTATTCATAGCCGTTGCAAACTTGCAGATGTTACGTACTGTACTGGCAGCGTGAAGCCCACCTAAAAACGTTGATGCTACCAAAAAGCAGCCAGAGCTCTCAGATGTTCCAGAAGATGCATTCTTGTTCCATTTTTTTTTTCATTTTTAAAAAGTAACGCTTGCATTCAGCCTTGACCTAACCCAGAAATAGCTGATGTATGTAATTTTAGCACACGAATAACCTCACAGAGTGCTTTAATATGATGGACCCAAAGAAACTCGAGCAGAAACGCAAATTCGGTGCAAGACTGAAATAGAAGTCGAGAGCCAAACTATTTCATTTCTGTATCCCAGGAACAAGAACTGCCTGTGAATTGAAAGTCATGTAAATCAAGTACGATTTTGCAAGCCAGGAAAGGTGAACAGTTGAAGCAGGTGTGACTTTATGGGCTTTTTTTTAAAAAAAACCCCTTAAGTTGTGTGCCCCAAATCAGAGAGGTTCCCTTCCGAAGAATTAGAGGGACATCTTCCAATGCTGAGTCCTGATGCTTCGTATCAAACTCATCATTTTTTCCATAGGCCAGCATTCTGGTGTCTTTTTTTGGATGTAATCTAACGCACTACTTGGTATCCAAGGGGAATATGTATTCTGCAAAAAATTGTAGGTCAGCAGAGCCAAAGTTGAAAAAAAATCTTTATGGTGTACGATTCTCTGCTGTCAGTAAATGAGAAATGGCCCTCTGAAAGCTGTATGGGTGCGGTAGTAGCCAGTCTGTGGACTTATATAACGGGATTGTTTCCTGTTGAGTTTGTTTCCCAGAGAACTTTCCATGACTTCTGCCCCTTTGCATGAACGCCAGCAATCCTGTACTGACGGGCCCTGCAGTCTGCAGCTTTTTCCCTGTTTATTTTGCTGTTCCTGGCTTTCCTGGTACAGTTGACAACTCCACTTTCTATTTTAGTCTCCGTGTTAGAAGTACAGGTGTGATAGCACAAGCTGCAGGCAGGTATCACCCAAGCATATGCTTCCCAGTCGATTTCACCCACGCTGCTCTGCTTTAGATCGTGCACTGCTGTTCCAGGCTTAAAAAGCTTCACTACACACAATTCCTGCATGTCAGGCTGGGCTTGGACAAACAGCATGGACGTATCAGCTGCTCTTCAGCTGAACTTGTGATTATTTCAGCTTTAGGAAATGGAGGTGAAGAGGTTTATTGATCTAGTTAATGCACAATTTCTGTATTTAAGTTTCTCCCCCAACTACTCCCAAGTTTCTCCATGGAGTTGCAGATTTTATAGCAAGAGGAATTCTTGGCTCTCGTGCCAACTATTATTGTAGGAACTGCTAGTCTGGCTCAAATTGAGATCAGACCAACCAAAGCATGTGTCTGACAAAGATCAGAATAAGGTGCTTTCACAGGCTTGCATAGAACTTCCACAGCAGCAATCCTCTGCTCGTTTCTGTTTCCCATTCCTCTCTGCTTTAGGCTGATTTAAGACTTAAAAAGGCTGCCTCAACAGCATATATCATCATTAATGTTTCTATATGCCTTTTTAAAGAAGTATATCCTTATAAATTATGGATCTTTTTCAGGTGATCGATTATGGTCTGCCCTTGCTGAAGCCATCCCGGGCTCTGAACATTATTCCAAAATTTCTATCAGCCTTGGGAAACAGAATAGTTAAGACACACAAAGCTCAAGTGTCCCTCCGCCCTCATCCTTGAATACAGGCTCTGGAAGGACAATGCATATAAAGGCTTTGGAGGTGGTGACCCTAACAAAGAACAAGCCCTGTGCTGGGCTTTCTCAGGAGCAGCCACGTTCATTTTTAACTGCTACTCCAGCCTGGTGTGAGTGAAGGCAGGATTTTCTCAGAAACTGCCACTAGGAAATATGCTTTTCACCGTGGACATAGATAAATTAAGTTTTCTTCTAAAATTCTTCAAAGGATGAGGAAAGTAAAGCTGTTCCAGCCTGGAAGCTGTCCAAGTTGAACTGCCCAGGGCAAGGCAAGTTTTTGCAGTTAAAACACCCAGAATGAGAATTCAGAACGGCTTTAAACTACTGCCTTACATGAGAAACTTAAATTCACTCATTTCACTCTGTGCTTCAGAGCTCCAGTTTTTGTTAATGAGCAGTGCAGCCAGGCTGTGTTCCATTCATGCTTCCCCTTAGTCCTTGGGGGCTTGCTGTTGCACGAACTCTCATTTGGCCATGTGGAAAGCAGACAAAAGGAGCCAGTGGTAGGGATGGCTGTCACTGTTCCCTCACCGCCAGCTGCTTCGTCCTGACCCTGGACTTCACTCAGCTGTGTTAGTGCAGTATTTATGGGGACCATTCCAAACCAGATCGCTAACGTGATCCCAAAACCTCCATCTTTCACTCCAGTCCCTAGTCCATTGCAGCTGGTAGACCACAAAGCCCCTCTTCTTCCATTTTTATTCCCCCAGCCTCCTGTGATGTTGGTGCAATAAGGTTTTTCAACGGGATGAAGCAAAGCAGTGAATTTTACAGGGCTTTGTTTTTCTTCACCAAGAAGATCTCCAGGAATCGGTACGTTGCTGCCGGTCCTTCTCCCCAGCCCAGCACTGGCAGCTCTGCTGGCTTCTCCTTTTTGATGTAATTGTTTGGGGCAGGATGTGGTCATGTCGTGGCCGCGCTGAGGATCTGCAGGGAATGAATAGGTGGTTGATATTCTTATAAAGAACGCTAAAGGAAAAGAGACAGCAGGAAGGAAAGGAAGCTAAATATGTAAAATTACTTCAGTTGTTTCTATTGTGATGGCTGCGTAACTCTGAGCTGAGTTTAAACCCGTGTCCAACAGTCCATCTGCCAGTAACTCTGCCCTTCTGTTGTTCCAAAAACTATGGAAAGAACTAGAACACCTACCTCTCACACCAGCTCACAGACGAGGGGAAAAGCGACTCTATTTTGGAGAGCATCCTCTGTAATTAGGTCTGCTTTTTCCCCCTCCCCTGGGCTCCTGCCCACACACCGCAGTGAAACACCCGGCCCCAAGTCTGGGATGACAGCAGAGGTATAGCAAAAAGGGAGAAAACAAAAGGAAAGAAAACATCCTCCGGAAGCGAATGGATCTCAAAGGCTCTTGCAAATTTTGTACAGAGAAACATTCTGGATTAGAAGAGAGCTGTTAAACTGGAAAGGGCCAAGGCTTGACTCCGTTCTCCCCAGTCACAATGAACTCGTGCCAAGCAGTGGTAAAATACTGCTTAATTTGTACCTTCTTTCATAAAAACCACGCATTTTGTTAGCACTGCACTCGAGCCAGCCATTTGATGCGCCATTCCTGGCTCCAGTTCTGTTTGGGATTCGGCTGTATTCTTGTCCTACTGATTTTTTCACCTGCATGTCCTTGAGTGCTCAGTAACCGCTTTACCAAAGGATCGGGACATGGAGTGACAGTGGACGTGCTGTTCAGTCACTCCATGAACCATTCAATTAGAATAAAATAGAACCAAACAGTTCAGTTGGAAGGGACCTTCAAAAATCATCTACCCCAACTCTGACCACGTGCCTTTGTACAAATACCCACAAGATCCACAAATAACAATAATCCTACATCATATATCCATTAGTGTGTATATATATATCAGTATATATATATATATTTCTAGCACGAATTAAAAAAAATAATAAAAAATCAGCCTCTGGAGCTAGATACATGTTCTATAATTTGTAGAAATTAATCAGGAAAAGGCTGAATATTCTGGGCTCCACGAGGCAGTGAGCAGCCAGGCTGTGTCTTTAAAAGCAAATCTGCCTCGGTTCAGCTCAGTTCAGTGGGGGTGGT